TACATATGTCATACCTTAAATAGATTATTTGTGACAAGTTTTTTGTTGTGAAATACAATGTGTAAGAATATTGAGTATTTGGCGTGTCTTCAAAAAAATATTTATTTAACTGTTGCTTATTTGAAGAATTGAAAAAACTCAGTGGAAGGAAGATAATAATATTATGAACTTCAGAAATTATTTGGCGATGTATGGGTAATCTGTAATTTTTATCAGATTATAAGAAGATTCAGAAAAATAATACAAGCATACAGGCTCCTTTGCTTGAAATGTGACTGTTAGTAAAAATAAACTAGAGACAACGGAACCAGACCGTAAGAACAAAATGGATACAGCAGGTAATCTCATGTATGCATTTTAATTTTCTGCACGGGCGGCGGTCGCACTGGTGTTGTCTACTATGGGTTGTGCACAAAAAAAACGTGGTAATGTCGTCATTCTTAACTTGTTGTTTGATTTTTGTTAGAACTAAACAGGAAGTATTTTTAATATAAACCAATAATAACTAAAGTATTGAAATTTTAATATTATTGCCATAATAATACAAAATAAAAAATAACCTGGCAATTAACCGTTTCATGTTGAATTCAAACTATGCACTTTGATGCTGCTCAATTTTTGCACAAAACAATTCACAGACGCGTGTCTCAAGCGGATGGAACTCGCGCTCACACTGGTCCCAAGCGGTCCAAGATATCGTGTGCGTGAACGGTGTCTTTGTTGTGTTGCTCGAGCACACTTATGTAAATAACCTTCTGTACTATCTTTTTTTGCCAAAAGCAAGATGGTTGACTACGGAGTCGCAAGGCGTTTGGATCGCATGGTAGTGAAGGTCTGCAGCCAGACCAGACTACAGTCTGTCATACATGACAGAAATCATTTGACTCATATTCGCTGAAAAAGCAAACGCTGCTTGGTCCTATTGTTATTGCCGTACCTACGTAGTCGCTGCAAGTTTTTGAAAGAACATTTCGCATTGATAATGGCAGGGTTCTTATAATAGATACGAGGTCGATTTTTCACCATCGATATAATTATAAGAAAAATCAGAGCGGATGCCCAGCGTGTTGCACGTGTTGGTCACGAACTTATAACGCATCCTACGGGCTCCCGTAGCTATTGGCGTTTGGCCAAGGTCGTGCAAAAGAACTTCTACCAGCCCTCGTTGCCACCTCTGAGATGTCCAGACGGAACACTAGCTCATAAGCCGCAGGAGAAAACCGATTTACTGGCAAAACTCTTTGCGGCTAACTCCCGAATCGATGATTGCAATGCACTGCCACCATTATTACCTCATTGTAGCACAACGATGTCTGATATCAAAATCAGGCAGCGTGAGGTTCGTGCCGAATTGCAATCACTCGACGTCCGGAAAGCTAGTGGACCAGATGGCATCCCAGCAGTAGTATTGAAAAAATGTGCAGCGGAGTTGTCTCCCGTGCTCACGCGTTTGTACCAGTGCTCGTATTCTTTGGGGCGTGTGCCGGAGACTTGGAGAGAGCTAACGTGTAACAGATACCCAAAAAAGGGGATCGCTCAGACCCGGCAAACTACCGGCCAATAGCAGTCACCTCAGTATTATGTAAAGTCCTAGAAAAGGTCCATATCAACCATCTAACCCGCTACCTAGAGGATCACTCCCTGATTAATGATCGTCAATATGGTTTTAGACCAAAACGATCGACGGGTGATCTTCTAGCGTACTTGACTCATATCTGGGGTGAGGCTATCGACAAGCGGGGCGAGTCGTTGGCTATCAGCCTAGACATTGCCAAGGCATTCGACAGGGTCTGGCACAAAAGCCTTCTCTCCAAGCTTCCGGCATACGGTCTGCAGGCCCAGTTCTATTCTTGGGTAGCTGACTTCCTGCATGAGCGTAGAATTCGTGTCCTTACGGATGGTAGCAGTTCGCGGTTCATGTCAGTGAATGCCGGCGTTCCCCAGGGCTCCGTCCTATCCCCCACTCTCTTTCTGCTGCATATCAATGACCTAATTCCTCTTGGGAATATTCATTGCTATGCAGACGACAGTACAGTGCATGCGGGGTATCTCGGACAAGCAGCGGTTGAGCAGGCGGTAACCAAGGAGAAACGGGAGAATCTTGTCATTGAACTCAATCAGGCTTTGGACCACATTTCTAAATGGGGTACCAAGAATTTGATTGCGTTCAATGCTAAGAAAACCCAGGTCTGCGCTTGCACGGCAAAAACGTTGCCATTCCTTTTATGTCCTTCTCTTCAGGGCACAACACTGGAGCTAGAGAGCAGTATCAACATGCTCGGTATGGAGAGTCGCTGTGACTTAAATCCAAAAAATTACATCGAAAGTGTGCTAAAAACAGCCTCACGCAAACTCCGAGTCCTGAACAAAGTGCGGCGTTTTTTCACGCCCGAGCAACTATGCTTGTTATATAAGACGCAGGTTCGGTCTTGCGTGGAATATTGCTCGCACCTCTGGGATGGCTCCGCCAAGTACTTGCTCGATGCTTTGGATGGGTTACAGCGGCGCGCAATACGCATCATAGGCGATGAGGAGGTGACTAAACACGTCGAGCCTCTTCAATTACGCCGTGACGTGGCGTCACTAAGCGCGTTCTATCGTCTGTACCACGGTGAGTGTTCTGAGGAGTTATTCTCTCTTATTCCACCTTCCCCTTTCCTTCAGAGGACCACGCGCTGGCTTACGTTGACACCGTTTAACTGTGTCTACAATTCCAACGCGTACAAAGAAATTTGGTGACTCATTTCTTTGTCGTACTATCCGTAAATGGAATGCACTGCCCGCTCACGTGTTCCCTCCCTCTTACAACCTGGGATCCTTTAAAAGAGGCGTGAAGAAGCAACATGCAGGCCGGCAGGGTGAGGATGGCTGGTGTGGCAGGTAGAACTGCTGTATCAGCTATCTTCGCGTCTGGACTTCACCTCCACTTAACATCAGGTGGGGTGGAGTCGTTTGTCGGACCTATCTATAAAAAAAAAAGTCTTAATTACCGGTATATTACATACAATCATTAATTATCTATTTATTATTGCCGACGCCTTGCAGTGTTTCTCTATTGCTTAATACACTGCGATGCTCAACAATTATCATAATGGTTAATGAGAATCAGTTCATCGTTAGATTTTAATTACCTAAACAACACAACTATGTATTACAGTTGGGTTTGTATTCCATACCCATAATCAAAACGTAATCAGTTAATCAAATAACTACAAATTATACAATTTTGATAAAAATAATTATCGTTTCAACGAAACAATATTAAAATTCTTATTCAATATAATTACAGAGAATAATAAATAAAAAATATATGACTACAGTTTTACTAAATAAGAATTTATATTGGTAAATAGAAAACGAAAACGGACTAAATTTTAATTTAAACGCTGTAGATATTATTGAAATTATATAAAGTTTAATGACTTACACTTTATTTTGAAAAAATTGAGTTGTATGATTCCACCCGAACAAACATACATTGCATGTTAAGTAAAAGCTTGTAAAAAATAAATGAAAATCTGATGTCACTTTTGACAACCGTGGCCGAGTGGTTTGTACGCCGGATTTCATGATGACACCGACTCGAGAGGTTTCGAATCCCGGTGGGGGCAGATTTTTGTGTGATGAATACGAGCATTTGTACTCCAATCATGGATGTGTAATATGTATTTCTATATAAATATAGTTATATATGTACTGATGTCGATTCTGGCATGATGCTCTAAAGCTAAACTTAAATTTGACAACAGTGCATCCTTGTCATTCTCTATGCAGAATGGCAAGGACAGACTGATGTTAAATTTAGTTTTAAGTTTAGAGAATCACGCCAGAATCGGCCCCATTGTAATGTATTTCATCCGTTACCCTAGTATCCCATAACACAAGCCTACAGTGCTTACTTTGGGGCTAGGCTAATTGGTGTGTTGGAAATTTTTATTTATTTACTTTTCCGAATGTAATGCTGGCGATTAATATTTTCAATGTAATATCAGCTACTTTTCTCATGGACGCTCTCGATTTTTAGGATTCTGTTGACCTAACCCTTATAGTTTCGTTATATTCGTCTGTCTGTCTGTCTGTCCGTTCGAGGTTGGCTTGTTTCTGGTCGGACTAATAATAACTTCCGTATTCGCTGTGCGCTGTTGCCCGATGTAGCAGTAAATACATGGCGTATTTACTGGTTGTATTGTATGAATTGCTTGAAAATAAATGTTTCCGAAGTTTTAAGTCGTAAACTTAGGCCTTACCTATGGTGCAGGATGTGCGTTACGCACGGGGCGCAGCGGTCTCGGGGGGCGCCGAGCGATACTCGCCACCATTACATTTTTACCGCGCGCTTACACAATACACTTGGTTATAGGCTTGTTGAAAATATATCGATGTATCAATATATCGATATTTTTTGTTCGATATATCGATATTTTTTGCCGATATATTTTGATTCGATATATCGATACATCGATACAAAATAACCAATATCGAAATTGGTATCAAAAACGATATTTTTTTAATTATTAGCGGCATATCACGATCTAACTAAATTCGTATCTGGAAAAATCGTAACTGGATCTCAGATTAATGATATTCAACATATCTATGATCTGTGCTGTATTAAGTATTGTCTATGTCATCATTCGAAAACAGGGTCTATTTTTAGGGAGATAATTTTCGTTCCATTATTATTCCGCGTGTCATATTTCGTGAGCTACTGTACGATATTTTTGGGAAAATTGGTCCGATATATCGATGTTTTTTCCGCGATATATCGAAGCCGATATTGATATTTTTTAAAAGATCGATGTATCGATATATCGATATTTTTTTCAACTTTCGACATCCCTACATGGTTAATGATTCCTCACGAGCGCTTAAGGTCTAATGTAGAGACGCCTCTGCTCGTAATTACATCGTCGTGGCTTTGGGCGGGACACGGCTGTGCTGTACTTAATTCAATCTTCACAATTATAATCTTTCGCTTTTTAATCATATATTTTACCCAGACTCAGCATCATGGAGGGCTTCCTTCACCACATGGCGCCGCAGTTCCTGCACCCTGCTCTGCAGAGCTTTGGGTGTGGCGCGTTCCGGCCGATAGGGGGCGCCTTCCACCCCCTTTATCCGGGCAAAGCTTTTGCCAGACATTTAGGGGAACAATACGCTCTCGGCCAAACCGTCGGACAAGCTTTGAGGGTAAGTTAGGGTCCAATATATTAGTTATATTTTTGTGATAATCATCAGATTAATCGAGTTAGAGTGGAAAACTTGTCCCAATATACTATTTCGTTAATTTTTATGCTGTTATGATAACAGATATAAACCAAACAAAGCGCTAACGATCACATAGACTACACTTATTGTATATTTGTGTTATATCACTTCGCCTTCGTTCAGTCATTGGTGAGTTTATATTGCAAATATAATAAGAAACTATTAATATTTTATATCCGGGCGAGTTTCTACCTTACATTAATAAAATCTTTATCATTTCTTACCTGTGTGGTTTGTGGGTTACCTATAATGCGAAGAAATGGCACTGCCTTGCAGCTTAAGAATGGCTAGAAGAATTTCGACGCGGCCGTCAGGGCCGCGGTGGCATAATTGGTTAGTTAGCCCGGAAAGCGAAGGGTGCGGGTTCGAGTCCCGTCTGCTGCCTGGCCCGCGTGGATTTTTTCCTAGTTATATTTTCTTTAGATTTAAACATCAAGCAGTTATATGCTTAAAAAATAAAAATTATAAAGCGATAATTCATGTTAACCCATTTCAACTTTTTTTAGGATTTGAAAATGAAGTAGGTTTTTTTTATTATTAAAATACTATTAATAATATATCTGAGATGAATGATGGCAAGTGTAACCAGACTGATTACAAAATGTTACATTTCAACGTAAATATTTGCTATCATTACGTACTCTTTAATTCAGCAGTATTATAATGCGTTCAAAGTTTGGGATGTCTTGTGGTTTTAGATCACTATTTAATTATGATTTTATATGCGTATAATCGACCTATAGAAAAACCTTTTTATGCTTTGTTTACCTTTTGTCTCAGAGGAAGTTGAACACCATTATACCCATTTTACAAAAACTGTACAAAAATATTCATTTCATTTGTATCAACATTGAAAATATTAATCATAACTATATTAATTAGCTCAGTTATTCACAGAACCAGTGGTACAGACATTTCCCATTAGTTCGGTCCAAAAACTAACACAACAGTTATACACAGGCAGAAACAGAACTGATCAACAGAACTATGGTAATAACGGTTGAATACAGTACGTACTTGATTAGTACTTATTGTTTTTTGTTTTTTTTGTAAATTTTTTGGTTTATTTTATTTTTTAACATGCTTTTTACGTATATGAAATCATACTCTACAACAATATGGTATTCTGTACTAAATATATAATGGTGCCGATTCTGGCGTGATTCTCTAAACTTAAAACTAAATTTAACATCAGTCTCTCCTTTTCATTCTGTATAGAGAATGACAAGGATACACTGTTGTCAAATTTAAGTTTATATTTAGAGAATCATGCCAGAATGGATTTGAATGTAGGTATTAGTGTAGATTCTGGCATCTCTTATCTATTAGACAAGTCCGTCTGTCTGTGGTGCTGTTTCAGCGGCCAAACCGTAAGAGATAGATAAAGAGAATATTTAAGTTATAAGTTAAGAATAGTCTGATAAGACTACAAACCGGATCAGGTTTTGGTGAACATTTGGTTGGTTTGCTAGTGATTCTCTAAACCTAAACTTAAATTTGACAACAGTGTAACCTTGTCATTCTCTATACAGAATGAAAAGGAGAGACTGATGTTAAATTTAGCTTTAAGTTTAGAGAATCACGCCAGAATCGACTCATACTCCATTGTGTCAATAAAAGATCATCTTTGAGCCCTATTTTAAGTAGGTACCACAGATCTTTAGTTCGTATGTTTCTTGTGCCTCCTATTTGTAATACCGTTCTTATTCCACGCATTCATAACTACGTATATAGAAATAATAGGTATGTCTGCTAGACAAGTGCTTACTAAAAAACTTAACGGTAAAGTGAACAAAGGGCGAAATTCCGATCACTGTATTCTTTTGCCCGTAGCAAAATTTGAAACAATACGGAGGTATATCATCGTCACAGAGCGCCCGCGACGAGAGCGGCACACCGCCGCTGTACCGGCACGGGTACGGCGCGCGCGACGACACCAGCTCGCCGGGCTCGGCCGCCTCCGCCTCGCCGCGGCCCTGCAAGGACGATGAGAATCCGCCGCCCACCACCTGCACCGACTCCCACGACTTCTTTTCCGGTAAGAATACGCTTTGTAATACTTTTAACCGATTTCCAAAGGAAGGGTTTTCAATTTGTCAGTACTCATTTTTCGGGGATAATGGCATATAACAGCTAATTGCGTGTGCAAAGACGCTTGCCATTATATTGATTTTTAAAAAGATAAAGGTGGCACCATCGTCTTCCGCTATCCAGGCGGCCCGATCTGCCCGGATAGCGGAAGATGCGGGTTCGAACCCCGTCTGAAACCTGGACCGAGTGGAATTTTTACAAGCAATATTCTCTTAATATTTAACTCGCACTTTAACTGCAGTAATCCTTAATTAATGGGTTACTTCAATAGATTGACGACTGCAGTTGACCTTAATGGGCGGATTTCTTCAACAAACTGATTGCATTTGTCCTTAAAGAGTGGGTAACTCCAGCAGGGAAACAGGTGTTTCCCAGCAAAAAGAGTAGTTAGCTGAACCCAATATCTCTTTTCTATGTTAATATTAATGATTTGCTAGCGGATGGCGAAAGGAAGTCGTCGTGCGGTGTGTGCGGCGCGCGGTTGGGGCCAGGTGTAGCACAAGCGCACTTTCTTCAGGAGCTGCAGCATCTGTACAGTCTCAGCGCGCTGCCGCGAGATGTCGCCGCGCCGCCGACGCATTCGCTGCATCACCAAGATGAGGACGCTCGGTGGGAGGTAATTTAATTATCTATCTAACTTGTGATTCTTTTAAATACCCACTTATTATTTTTCACCTACGTATATCTAAGTTCCTTTATAGTATTAGATTAAAACAAATAGGGAAGATACACCGACCCGGTGTATCTTCCTTATTCCAACGAAATCCTAGTTCTGACTTTTTTCATTATGTATTTGTGATTTTGGGACTGCCGTTCCTTATGAAACTGTAATCACACGATGTGCTTCGCCTCTACGTACTTAGTAGGTTTCTCCATAGCTTAAATATTCATATTTGATCTAATCCGGGGGAATCATAAGCGGTTTCAAATGGATACTACTGTTGTGGATGTGTGATTCACACTCACAAGTATAAGAGGTATTTTGGTGAGTAATGTTTCAGTTTACAGAACCGCAACGCACTAAGCTAAAATGCCTGTGCTAGTGACTTTGATTGAACATATAGAGATAGTGCACTCATATTTAATCCGATCGAGTTTGGATCGATAGCCTTCTGTTGTGAGGCTCTAGGAACGGAGCTTATTTTAGATAGGTGCTACATACATGTATTCGAATTTTACAAACATTGTTTGTACAAAAAAATCGACATCTCTTTACAAAACAAACAAAACGAAAACGATACACTGGGAAAATATACGGTATGAATTATACTAAATATGCGTTTTGTATTTAAATAAGAGCAACATTGACAAGTAATGAAATAGTCGAAATTATCAATGATTTGAACTTGAGCGATGAAGTGTCAGGCTTAGTACATATTGACTACCACGGCGATGGTATAATTTCTGGTTTAGATTCTGGCATTCAGATAACTAAAAATTTTGAGAAGTAATTAGTAAGATCAGAACTTCTGGGACCTCTCCAACTGGTTCCCAGTGTTAATAATGATGACAGTGAATTTGAAGAAGATGATGATTTTCCGCTTTTAAGGTACAGTATATGCCCTAATTGAGTCAACCACGATGGCCATAAAACCGTAAGTGAGTAAAAATATAATGGATAATAAGTGGATCTCTCCACCTTCAAGAACAGCGGTGACTACATCAGAAGCATCTGATCCAATAATTTGTTTCTCTTATGGAAACAATGCAATCGCACTAAAAGTTCGCAATGATTTTGACACGTTGGAATTTCAACGTAGTATTGTCCGAACTTTACTTCAAAAGTACGGCATTTATAAGCGGCGATTCTTTCAAACGGGTTTTTAAAACTATTTCTTCCTTTAATCCAAAATTATAATACTGAGCATATGATCGTTAGATACCAAGCCGACTTAATTGGGTTGCTTGTTCGTCAAACCTGACGATCACTTCGTTTTAAAAGTGTCAAGTTCTTTGATTTTTAGTAATTCAATGAACATGATTTTTTCCATGATTTCTCATTTTAAAAATAAATAAATAGAACAAATGCCGTTGTTAATTTACTTACAGTAAATGCAGGGCAAGCGCCCGATGTTTCGGGTTCGAACAATTTAAAAAAAAAGGTACTTATCTAATAATGACGTTCATTAAAGTAGTTAATATGTCAATGATATGTTAATGCTAATAGGTCTTCTATTAGCATTAACATATTCAAAAGTTGATGGAGAGATACTTTACGGCGCTCGTACGCCAAAACTATTGACTTTATGAAAAAAAGGTAGATCCATAAATTGTAGGCAATTGTCTATTTAGTATTAACTGTTTTTATTATAATATGGGTTAGGAAGGAGATATATTCAAAAAACAGCTTTTAGGCGCCATTTATCCAATATGGTGGCGCGAGCAGCAAAAATACAAGGAGGCAAAGTCGAAATTCGGAAAGAACACCTCAAAATTTATAAAATTACCAATTTTCAAAACTCCCGGAAAACTTTCCAGGTAACCACTATATTTCCCACCAAATGACTGTACTATATGGGTTAATTTTCAAATAAGTAGATATTTAATCCTATTCTTACCATTATTATAATTTTACCAAAGACTTACCAGCGCATCCGAGCGAATCGCCAGCGTCGACTGAAGCTGCGCACTCGCAAACGCCACCACACGGTGGAGAGCATGCTGGGCTATGACCTAGAAGAGGAGAGGCGCGAGGAGCGGCCGCGCGAGCCGCGCTCCTACGACGCGGAAGATGAACCAGTCGACGTGGAGGGTGACTCGCTCGGCTGGCCCGAGGGACCAATCAACGTTGACGGTGAGCTTCACAGTAATTGGAACTCCAGAGTAGGATAGGAATATTCCTACGCGGAGTACGAGCCAGTCCGACGGTGAGGGCAACTCGAGACCAATCAACATTGACTGTGAGATTCACAGTAATTGGAACTCCACCAGGCAATGAAGAGTAGGCTGGGCTACAACGAGAGAGACGTGAGAAGACACAGCCATTAAATAAAATGCTTCCTCATTATACTTGAATGAAACATTCTATAATAAATTAATGACAATTAATAATAGAAGAAATAATTGCAATTGATTCAAATTCCCATAATCAGGTAATTTATTATTTTCCTTTCATTAAACTTTTCCTAAACCTCATTTCCAGACAAAGAGCAGCGCAGCGACGCCGAAAAGGTGCACTTCAACTACGCCGAAGACCTGGAAATATCCAGCACAAACGATGCCATGCATTCCCCTGAACGTGTCAGGTAGTTATAGTATTAAGATAAATGGTTCTCAAGAGAGATTTTTACTAATATTATAAAGTTTCTACGAAGTAATTAGACACTTAAACACTGTAAATACTTGATTTTCGAAATCTTTTACCCATAGACAGCTGCATTATTTCCTATATATTAAGGCGTTAAAAATAAATTTCCATCCATCCATGCAAAGCCAGAACCCAGTCATACGCCCCATCCACCACCATCTAAAATACTAATACGCATTGGCCCCATCAACAGTGGCGATATTAGACTGATTGCACACAGCACCCCCACTAGGGAGCACAACTAAATTTTTGTTAAAAATCGAAATTGGCAAAGTTGATGGGTTGCTAAAAGGGTAAGCCCATAAAGTAGTATATCCATGAAGCCCAAAACAGTAATCTCTAACCCCCTTATTAATAAACAAACACTACGCTTGAATTAGTTACTCTATGTTTTGTCATGTGCGTGTGGACTGAGTGATCTTTTCAAAAAACTCATCCAACCACAACCAAATTATAAGAGGATTTAGGAAATAATTGTGAAAAGTTAATGGTAAGGCATAAAATTTGTGAAAGCTAAACAAAGAAAGTTAGAACTAATAAACTGGATCACTCAATCTGGACACCTGAAGAATAAGCCATAAGGCGTATCCAAGAATATACTACCTGTGTTTATAATTTGTATTTGAAATAATTGTGAAGAATTTGTAAAAGCTGCTAAACTAATTTTCGATTCATTTCAAAGCCACGTTTAAGATTTAGAACAGTTTATATGGATCACTCAGAATGCACTATGTTCATTTGAGTGATCTTTTAAAACACTACCTTATACTGAAAAAGTATGAAACATTATCATGTTTAAATAAAACTAGTTTTTACGGGTTAATGCACGAAAACTTTATTTATTTATTGACGTTTCGTAGCCTTTACAGGCTACATCGTCAGAATAAAACTAGTTTTATTTAATGAGTGATGTGCGTGAAAACCTAAGAAACAAATATTATCATGTTTATTATAAATTATGCTTCTTAATTATTGGGTAAATTTGTCTAACAAAGATCGGGATTAAAATCTTACTGGTTTAAGAGAAAATGAAAATCATGTTTTTTCTCGATCGTCCCAACTGAGTGATCCTTATCTTGAACTATATTTAACAAACTTATAGGTAGAAGGTAGTTACATCAGAAATTGTGAAATATGTTGTACTAAAATATGATGAACCAATCGTCCCAGTAAGTGTTATATTTTAAAAGATAACTCATTTTTTACAATCCTTAAGGAAAACGTTGAGTAGGGTGACCATATCGGTTTACTTAGGTACCGAGAGTTATGTAAGTTAAGTTTTTAGAGTGTAGAATTTAAAGATGTTTTTAGAGTGTTTTCACTACTTAATATATAATTTCAACATAAAATGACGTTTTTAAGTGACAAATTTTCAGAAAAGTTAGGTATTGTCACACTGTATTAGGTTCTCATACTAAGGAATTCTACACACAAAAAAAAGATCAGATATTTTTAAGTAACCAAAGAAATTAACTTTTTATTATTCTAAGTTTTTTTCTAACATTCATAGTCTTCTAGAATGTTACCTAATCGATAAGTCCGTAGGATAAAGTATGTAAAATAACTGGTTCTTCTTCTTTGCTGTTATACATTTTTCCCATCAAATCATCATAACAGACTATTTTTTCGTTAAGGACACCATTTCCTTTGTAGTGGCCAATATTATCGGGACTTCATTCATTGTGGCACAACGATGCCTAATATCAAAGTACTTGCTCGATGCTTTGGATAGGTTACAGCGGCGCGCGATCCGCATCATAGGCGATGAGAAGGTGACTAAACACCTTGAGTCTCTTCAATTACGCCGTGACATGGCGTCACTAAGCGCGTTCTATCGTCTGTACCACGGCGAGTGTTCTGAGGTGTTATTCTCTCTCATTCCACCTTTCCCCGTTCCTTCAGAGGACCACGCGCGCTGGCCTACGTTGTCACCGCCTAACTGTGGTCACAATTCCAACGCGTACAAAGAAATTTGGTGACTCATTTCTTTGTCGCACTATTCGTAAATGGGATGCTCTGCCCGCTCACATGTTCCCTCCCTCTTAGAACCTGGGATCCTTTAAAAGAAGCGTGTAGAAGCAACTTGCAGGCCGGCAGGGTGAAGATGGCTGGTATGGCAGGTAGAACTGCTGTATCTGCTATCTTCGCGTCTGGACTTTACCTTCACTTAACATCAGGTGGGGTGGAGTCATTTGACGGACCTATCTATATAAAAAAAACAATAAACAAACTTGCATTAAATGCACTGCACAATGCCGCCAGCTTCGCAAATTGCAATGAATATACACAATGTTAGCATTGAATAGGGTAGTCGAAAAAAATCCGACAAAATATAAAAGTACAAGTACCCTACTCAACGTTTTCCTTAAGGATTGTAAAAAATGAGTTATCTTTTAAAATATAACACTTACTGGGACGATTGGTTCGTGAAATTTTAGTACAACATTTTTCACAATTTCTGATGTAACTACCTTCTACCTATAAGTTTGAGTTTGTTCAATATAGTTCAACATAAGGATCTCTCAGTTGGGACGATCGAGAAAAAACATGACTTTCATTTTCTCTTAAACCAGTAAGATTTTAATCCCGATCTTTGTTTGACAAATTTACCCAGAAGCATAATTTATAATAAACGTGATAATGTTTCATACTTTTTCAGTATAAGGTAGTGTTTTAAAAGATCACTCAAATGAACATAGTGCATTCTGAGTGATCCATATAAACTGTTCTAAATCTTAAACGTGGCTTTGAAATGAATCGAAAATTTGTTTAGCAGCTTTCACAAATTCTTCACAATTATTTCAAATACAAATTATAAACACATAGGTAGTATATTCTTGGATACGCGTTATGGCGTATTCTTCAGGTGTCCAGATTGAGTGATCCAGTTAATTAGTTCTAAGTTTCTTTGTTTAGGTTTAAGAAATTTGATACCTTACCATTAAGTTTTCACAATTATTTCCTAAATCTTCTTATAAGGAGGACGGGCATTTTGGTATCCAATTGGTGTTTGGTATCAATAGCGATAAGTGATATATCATTGAATACCTCTTTTCATGTAGAATATTAGTTACTATGACGGCATTCTGATATTTGTTGTCCGTTTTTATTTTTTCCAGAAAATACCAGAACCATTTTTGCCGGAACCGTTATTACCATTATTTATTATTACAGAACCAAATAGGGAAATCGAGTCACTGAATCAAGTACAGAGTTGAATGCGGGATTCCATCCCCTCTCCCGCCCGTATTTAGGCAGGTAGACAGAAGATGTGCGTGTGGACTGAGAGATCTTTTCAAAAAACTCATCCAATCACAACCAAATTATAAGAGGATTTAGGAAATAATTGTGAAAACTTAATGGTAAGGTATAAAATTTGTGAAACCTAAACAAAGAAAGTTAGAACTAATTAAGTGGATCACTCAATCTGGACACCTGAAGAATAAGCCATAACGCGTATCCAAGAATATACTACCTATGTGTTTATAATTTGTATTTGAAATAATTGTGAAGAATTTGTGAAAGCTGCTAAACAAATTTTCGATTCATTTCAAAGCCACGTTTAAGATTTAGAACGGTTTATATGGATCACTCAGAATGCACTATGTTCATTTGAGTGATCTTTTAAAACACTAACTTATACTGAAAATGTATGAAACATTATCATGTTTATTATAAATTATGCTTCTGGGAAAAGTGAAACAAAGATCGGGATTGAAATCTTACTGGTTTAAGAGAAAATTAAAATCTTGTTTTTTCTCGACAATCCCAACTGAGTGATCCTTATCTTGAACTATATTTAATAAACCCAAACTTATAGGTAGAAGGTAGTTACATTAGAAATTGTGAAAAATATTGTACTAAAATGACGAACCAATCGTCCCAGTAAGTGTTATATTTTAAAAGATAACTCATTTTTTACAATCCTTAAGGAAAACTTTGAGTAGGGTACTTGTACTTTTTTATTTTGTCGGTTTTTTTTTCGACTACCCTATTCAATGCTAACATTGTATGTATATATTCTTTGCAAATTGCGCAGCTGGCGGTATTGTGCAGTGCATTTAATGCAAGTTTGTTTATAGTTTTTTTTTATGTAGATAGGTCCGACAAATGAGTCCACCCCACCTGATGTTAACTGAAAGTAAAGTCCAGACGCGAAGATAGCAGATACAGCAGTTCTGCCTGCCACACCAGCCATCTCCACCCTGCCGGCCTGCAAGTTGCTTCTTCACGCCTCTTTTAAAGGATCCCAGGTTGTAAGAGGGAGCGAGCACGTGAGCGGGCAGAGCATCTCATTTACGGATAGTGCGACAAAGAAATGAGTCACCAAATTTCTTTGTACGCGTTGGAATTGTGGCCACAGTTAGACGGTGACAACGTAGGCCAGCGCGCGTGGTCCTCTGAAGGAAAGGAGAAGGTGGAATGCGAGAGAATAACTCCTCAGAACAGTCGCCGTGGTACAGACGATAGAACGCGCTTAGTGATGCCACGTCACGGCGTAATTGAAGAGGCTCAAGGTGTTTAGTCACCTCCTCATCGCCTATGATGCGGATTGCGCGCCGCTGTAACCTATCCAAAGCATCGAGCAAGTACTTTGATATTAGGCATCGTTGTGCCACAATGGGGTAATGATGGTGGCAGTGCAATGAATGAAGTCCCGATAATATTGGCCACTACAGAGGACATGGTGTCCATAACGAAAAAATAGTCTGTTATGATGATTTGATGGGAAAAATGTATAACAGCAAAGACTAAGAACTAGTTATTTTACATACTTTGTCCTACGGATTTATCGATTAGGTAACATTCTAGTAGACTATGAATGTTAGAAAAAAACTTAGAATAATAAAAAGTTAATTTCTTTGGTTACTTAAAAAATTCTGATCTTTTTTTGTGTGTAGAATTCCTTAGTATGATAAACCTAATACAGTGTGACAATATACCTAACTTTGCTGAAATATGGCACTTAAAAACGTCATTTTATGTTGAAATTATGTATTATATAGTGAAAACACTCTTAAAAACATCTTTAAAACTTCTAAAAACAAAACTTACACAACTCTCGGCACTCAAGTAAACCGATATGGTCACCCTACTCAACGTTTTCCTTAAGGATTAGTTATCTTTTAAAATATAACAGTTACTGGGACGATTGGTTCGTCAAATTTTAGTACAACATTTTTCACAATTTCAGATGTAGCTACCTTCTACCTATAAGTTTGGGTTTATTAAATATAGTTCAAGATAAGGATCACTCAGTTGGGACGATCGAGAAAAACAAGATTTTAATTTTCTCTTAAACCAGTAAGATTTCAATCCCGATCTTTGTTTCACAAATTTTCCCAGAAGCATAATTTATAATAAACATGACAAAGTTTCATACTTTTTCAGTAAAGTTAGTGTTTTAAAAGATCACTCAAATGAACATAGTGCATTCTGAGTGATCCATATAAACCGTTCTAAATCTTAAACGTGGCTTCGAAATGAATCGAAAATTTGTTTAGCAGCTTTCACAAATTCTTCACAATTATTTCAAATACAAATTATAAACACATAGGTAGTATATTCTTGGATACGCGTTATGGCTTATTCTTCAGGTTGAGCGATCCAGTTAATTAGTTGTAACTTTCTTTGTTTACGTTTCACAAATTTTATACCTTACCATTAAGTTTTCACAAGTATTTCCTAAATCCTCTTATAATTTGGTTGTGATTGGATGAGTTTTTTGAAAAGATCACTCAGTCCACACGCACATGACAGAAGGTGCGGGCGCGCGGACGCGCGGGCGCATTAGTCGATCGTTAGTATTGCGCGTGAGACTACGTTCATTCCTTCTTTTATCTTTCATCGTTATTTTTACCTGTTTTAATCGTTGACCCCGTTGACCCGCGGCTAGAAAGAAAGCGGTTGAACCATCGAAGGGCAGACTCCATACGACTTGAAGCAATGCAAGCGGAGGACTTCCCCCAACTGACTGAAGGAGAACTCATTGTGCTTGCTTTGGGCACATATCAACTCAAACTAGCCAGATCTTACTATAGCGAGCATTTAAAGAATGGCCTATATACGATAGAAACATATAGAGAAAATGCATTGGAAGATTTGCCTGAATACGGCATAGATCAAAATGTTTGTTTGAGGACGAATCCGGTCTCGACATGTTCGAGCAAGGACCTATTACTGCTACGTATTATTCAGTAATAACGACTTAGCTTAGAATAATAATTATAATAATATAATTCAACATTATTGTACATGTCTAACCGGTAGACGTACCATAGGAACTTGTGCTCACATATTATCAATTATATGGTACCTAGGCTATGCCAGATACTCCGGATTCGTTGCTCCTGCACTGTTCCTAAATGACATCCTTATTATAGACAATGAATAAAGTAATTAGGTACTCAAAAATGTGTTTCTTTCACTCTGCCTCTGGATAACTGCATACATAAAAAATTAAATGAACAAAAACATAATGTATCAACAAAGATTAATAGGTATTTAAAATCTATATTTGTTATTTTTATTTTTGTTAAAAAAGTTTTTTATTAAGTGTTACCGTCATTACCGGCTGGGCCCTGACATTGAAGAGTCGTTTGAAGTTAGTGATTAGTATTATAGAATTTCGAATTGGTAGTCCAACATCCTGGGGTGGGCACAAGACCGTCCTGGGGTGGGCACGGCCCACTCGACCACCCTCTATATACGCCTATGGTTACCGTTCAAAATAACAAGCTAGTTATTGTTTATTTTTTATTATGTTTTTTACCATTTTCTTTTATAAACGTTCTCTTTAAAGATAAACATTAAATAGTTCACACGAGGTTGTATTGTTACTAAGTCGGAAGGCACTGGTATCTGCAATACAGTTTTTTTAAACTATTGCAGATATCAACGCCCTAACCTAATAAGCCTATTGTTAATACTTACAACACTGCTAAAATAATGTAAAGACTAAAATGTATAACAATTTAAAAAGAAAAAACTTGTTTTTTATTATTTATTATATAACTCTGTTTCGACAACGTATCAGGGCAAGCGCCATAGTAGACATTATTGTATTCAAGTAGACCTTTCAAATGATATGTAACATATCTCTATTGGAACGGATACCAAGTTCCATACATTTTTGCCCATCATCCTTTGGTTGTGATTGGATGAGTTTTTTAAAAAGATCACTCAGTCCACACGCACATGTTTTGTCTCTGTTTATTGAATGACAAATGGCATTTGAGTGACATGAACAAAATGCGGCGTAACTATTCTAAGCTTATTCCTTATTTATTAACAAGGGGGTTAACGTTTGGGAACCCGCTTTTTGATTAGTACGTCACGGTTGGATTACCATATTATTTGCGCCTTAATTAATTATTAATTAGGCGCAAACAATATGTCCCGAAGTTTAGGTGCGTGCAGTCTTATTACATAAACTTTGCACAAACGGACGCCCTTGTACGCGGTCTCTCTTGGGAGTGATCGATGACTTTTTCGTGTCCGTAATTCGGATGTACACGTCTCCTGGAGTGTTGAGCCGCACCTTCAGTAGTTCAGTGTGGGCGAAAAACTTTTGTCAATGCCTTTTTAATAGCAGTACTTGTTCGGTTGTTACACGTAACCTGTCTGTTTTTATGATCAATAAAAAACAGACAGGTTACGTGTACAATCGAACGGAAATCTTATCAGTTCGGTTAACAGGACTACTAACCGAACTACTAATACAAGAACACCTTGTTCCTATGCTGGTGTTTTGTGGTACACAGGATCGAGACGCCAAAGCCGCTATCGCTGGAGTGTGGGGCAAAGTGTCCGGAGGCGGCGGAGAGGCCCGCGGAGGTGTCCACGTCGGAGTGGCCGGCGGGCGGCAGTGGCGCGCCCGAGTGGGCCGCGCTGCCCGAGCCCTACGTGCACCGGCACAAGCTCGACGGCGAGAACCTGCCCTCCTCCACCGACTCGCGCAACTAGACCCATCGTTGCACTCCACTCGTAGGCAGCCCGCCGAGTGAGCCATACTGCCCGAGCCCTACGTGCACCGGCACAAGCTTGACGACGAGAACCTGCCCTCCTCCACCGATTCGCGCAACTAGACCCATCGCTGCACTCCACTCGTAGGCAGCCCGCCGAGTGGGCCATACTGCCCGAGCCCTACGTGCACCGGCACAAGCTTGACGACGAGAACCTGCCCTCCTCCACCGACTCGCGCAACTAGACCCATCGCTGCACTCCACTCGTAGGCAGTCCGCCAAGTGATTCCGAGTATTTAGTTTTTCATTAACGTACTTACGTAATGGCCAAATAAGTATCTTTATTCGTTGTTAGTATGTATTTTTTGTTTTCAATGTGATGTAGTCACCAAAGAATAGTGTAAAGTTTTTAAATTATTCATAATCGATTCTTAATCAATGTATAAATGTTAGTTGAAATATTTAGTTAAGTTGCATATGTAAAATAGCGCTTTTCAATCTATATTGTTGATGTTTAGTGTAAATAACTCTTATATAATTTTATTCAACGTTATAATATCCATCATGTTCGTGAAATGTACTTGGACGAATTATTTTCACCGATGGTTCCTAAAATGAAAATAAAAACTGTATTGCGAAAGATCAAATTTATCATCGGAACTAAAGCAAACCAAATATTTGGTCTTCAACATATTATTCATTATTTTGTTCCCACCACCATGTAATTTATAAAATAAAAGATCGAAAAAAAATATATTATTTATCAGTAGCGTTTATTTTAGGACCTCAATATAATTGTCGGCTTGAATAATACATCGGGACCGTTCTGTAAGTTTCTTTAAACTATTTTTGCTTCCTCAATTACTGAGATAGGTTAGTGTTTTGATAGGAAAGGAGTAAAGCACTAAAATATTAAATAATATACCTACATGTATGTATCTGATAATAAATAAATAACTATATTTTACAACGGATAAGAGTTTCGGAATAAGAAACTTACTCGAAGGTCCCGATTTAATTAATTTTGGAAAACAACAGCAATAATTTACGACGTAACAATCAAATAGACGTTTGAAAATTCAAAACTGATCCCTGGTCGTAAGAAAATACATTGTGTGAGACTTTGACAAACGTATGTATAAGGACTTTTATACAAAATACAACAATATTAACCTACTGGAAAAAGTTCAGAACTACCAGACTATGTTTCCTTATTAAACTAAGTCTATGTCAAAGGACGACGATGCGTCTCAAAGCAAAGACGGGCGTGACCAGGATTTATGTTAACATATTCTATCTCTCGATTGTCATACTAATACAACTAATAAGAATAATTTTTATGAACACCTTAAAATGTGTTTTATTTGCCATATTACAGATACAATTACTGATAAAATACATAGCCGGTCATGGCTATCTACGTAATTATGTCTGCTGTAATATAGTTGCAGTCGGGCTACAACTTTAGGCCGATAATAGAAGAGAGAAGTATTGTGTTAATATAATTAAAAGTAAGTTACAAAATATTCCTAGAGGTCATATTAATATGACATGCCAATCAAACTAATAATAAATCATTGGCATACGTTAGGATATGTTTAGCGCAAAGACTATTTAGAAAAATTAATACTTTCTTAAAATTTTAAAATCTCGTCTCCTAGAACATAGTTTTCAATATCATATATAGGAGCTTTAGTACTGAACGTATTGTTGAATAAATTGCAAAAGGAGGCAATATGCTAATAAGCAAATAATGGGGACTAAATACACATAAGGTGCTTACAATACAAAACATCAAAACGAAAAAGTCCACGAAAGTAAAGATAGCAAATAAGAAAGTAATATCTAAAAACCTTTATAAATCTTTTCTAAAAGATGTAAATGGTTTATGACAAGGTCAGTTAAAATAAATAGTATTATGAAATCTATCCCGATGTCCATAAAACAAAGGTTTGTAACAATAATTCTTTTAGCGGTGTTTACTTTTAAAATCGCAATTATTCCTGATACGATTACGGCTCAAGGTAGTACGAAGCAGAATTGTTACCTAAACAAAGTACATTTAAGTACATACAGTTAATCATAGTAGATAAGTGTGTAAGCATTTTGTAAAATGAATTTTAGTAGGTACAACAAAGAAATATACAAAATATCCTTCCAGAACATTTTAATTAGGTATATTGAGGAGCTACCAATAAAAAGAACTAAATTTTATTGATCGTCATAGAGAACTGGCAGTTAATGACATTTTAATAAAGTATTAAATCTTATAAATTTGGAAGCTTAAAACCCAAGTAAATAGAGTTTACGTTAGTTTACATAGTTTACGATAAAACTACACGTGTAAGCTGCATGTCTGGCTTGTCCATATCGCATATTGAAAACAAAAGAGACTCAATATACAAAACCAAATCTATTAGTGACACTTTTTGTTATTCACCGTGTTAGTGAAAAAAACAGTCTCATTTAAGTTTGATACTAGTTAAGAATGCTACGAATAGTGCAATATTTTGAATTAATGTTTGTTTATTTATAAAGTTGTAGTTATAGCACAGCTACAGGCGGAATAGTAACAAGTTTATAACCAACTCAGGATAAAAATCAGGCCTCCGACAACAACAATTGATCACAGTAATTGAATTCTGATATTTCCAGTAGGTATTGTCCCGTTTTTGTATTTAAAGTGCGATACAATGATTAATTTTAATGGTCTTCATTGCAATTCATTTAGTGCTTCCATTCAGTGGCATATTGTTACTAACAGTTTTGTTCGCGGGAGCCGATGACCTCAATCGCGAAATTGATAATATTGTTCTTAATCATAGTGCTCATATTTAATTTTTACCACAAGAAAACATTTTAAACGAAAAACGCTCCTTTTTGAGAATAATCTAACACGAGAATTGGGTTTTCCTGTCATGTTTTTATATTATTACATAATATTTTAGTTTACTATCAAACAATGTGACCGAACATATTTTTGTTCATAAATATTTTTACTGACAATTTCAATGAAAAAAATCAAAGTCACGATCACTACTTAGAACATTTGCGGCTCCGCGCTCATTCAGTATGGTAAACATTGTTCATTAGTTACGTTACTGGGGTGGGTCGGCGAGATTCAATTTGAAAGTGGAGTGACGGTAGTTTTCTTCGGCCGCGGATGCTGATGCGCGGCGTCTGACTTGGTCCCCTTCAGACCGGTATTCTTCTACAACCTACGCAAAGGAAATAAACTTGTTAAAGGCTGATTTACGCTGAGGTTACAACATGCGACAGTGCGCCAAGCTACATATTTTGACGTGGGTCATCTGATGGTATGCTGGAAATAGAAAAAATCTGCTTCACTTTCAACATTCAGCAGCCTATTAAAAGCGAATGCAACATCCTGCCTTGAGCATTGTGCTGTAAATTTTTAATTTATTGGTTTGGCATGCGGCTATGTACACTGTTGCCTCGGCCTTAAGGCTGCGCTTAAACACAAGCACATTTGAGCAATGCCAAAGGTCAATTTCCTTAAGACTTATGCGCACAACTCCGCTTCGGTGGTAACACAGCCTTACTTATTAATATGGATAGTTAATATCTATTAGTTTCACTCTCATGGTTTCTACTTACTACTTATACCGTACCATGTCATGATCTTAAATAAAAAATCTTTCGAAAACTGACCTATTTATGTGTGATACATTATTATATTATTTTACATGTGTTACACTCTCTCTTCACACTTCTCATGCGTTCTTCTACTGGATCTTATATCCTTTTCGAACCTATCTCATAGTTAGTTTAGCGTCCTTCTCTCCCTTCAATATTTTTCTCACTCAATCCCTCTCTTTCAACCTTAATCTCCCTACAATCCCCTTTTTCTCTTTTTATGCTTCACTCTAGATCCTAGTAGAATCCTTATCCGAAGCAGCCACTGACTGAGAGTGGTAATTCGTCTTAAGAACTCTCGCGACTATGATCATAAAAATATAATTAAGTAACGAAATCCGCACAAGTATCAAACAAATTAAAATAAAAAATATTCAAAAACACCTACCTCACTCTAACCTCAAGCTTCGAGTAAATGTAAACTTACCCTGCGTATGTGATCTTCTCTCTCGGCAAGCTTCTTGGAAAGCTCGTCTCGTCGCTGCTCGAGCTCAGAATCGTGGTTACCGTCTTTGATGCACTTCTCGATGTGTTCGTACTCTCGGTATAGGCCCGCGTACTCTGCCAAACTCTGCTTGGCATCGTGTACGCCGCCGCCGTGCCCCTTCGATGTCGCACCATCTCCGTCCTCACGATTCGTCGCTAAACTGCTTAAATTAATAATATTTTAGTTTTTTTAATGTTAAAAAGTCAGCAAACTATCTGTACATTTAATTTAATGATTGCTATCGTCAGCCCATTAATGTTCTCACTGATTTGGCACTGACCTTCCCTTGGGTCATCAGTCTATAGGTGGGTGCTAACGCCTACTGACGCAGCCGCGACCAAGCCTATCCTGGTTCCGTCTGCATCTGCAGTGCCTTTCGAAGCACGGAAGAGGTCGAGGCAATAACCTTATGGTCAGTTTCGGAACAAATTTGCCGTGACAATCAGGTAGAGACACCTGAATCAAGTAACAGAGTTATTTAGCTATAGGAGGAAAATTTCACCATACAGCAAATCAAATACCAATTTTAAGAGTACTAATAGGTTGATTTTACGATATAGCAAAGTACTTAGTTTAAGGTAGATAGAGCATAGCTGATTTACCGCCTGAATTGGTGCGCCCATACGTCTGGGGAAGTAACCTCCACCTTACAGATGACAATAAAATAAGACTACCTTTTTTTCGTAAGTATTGAGTTTCATTCAGTGAGAAAGGTTCCAGGGCTCCACGGGGTAGGATATGAGGTCAGGATAAGCAACGGCATGAGTAACAGCTTTGGTATCGTAAGTCTATAGGCTTAAGTGGCCGCTGACCATCAGGCTGGCCTTAAATTTTTTTTTGCTACCCTTTTGACATAAAAAATAAGCTCCAACCGGGCAAACTCTGGCTGCAGTGTTACCATCAACTCACTTGTACATGGACGTGTAGAAGTAGTGCGGCCGACTGACTCCGCGCAGGAACCTCGGCACCATGCCGTCTCCCTCGCGGTACAAAGCCAATAGCCGGTTATACGACATGTACCGGTATGAAGGCAGTCTGAGCAGCCGTCCGCCCGCACGGATAGCGTTTATCTCTCGCGTATCCAGTGAAGGTTCCTAGCGAGACATGTTTTTGAAGTGAAAACTCCTTTAGGCACTTTTGGGATAGCGAAATAGTGGTAACTATGAGCAGCCCGCCCATACGGATTACTTTTATGTCTCGAATATTCAGAAAAGATTCCTAGCGAGGCAATGATGTTATGAAGTAAAAACTTCGCTTCACGAGTCCTGTGCAACCAGACACGGAATTTTGAAGTGAAAACTTTTTTTAAGGCACTTTTAAGATAGTGAAATAGTGGTAAGAAGGCAGCCTCAAAGTCACCCGCCTGCAATCACTCGCGTGTTCAGTAACGGTTCCTACCGATTTTCCTACCAAAAACATCATTGTCTCATACAATGATGTTTTCGAGTCAGAATGTGTAATTTAGCCTTTTTATATAATTGTTGTAGTACAATAGGATAGGTATAACATGATGTTCTTTGTCGGATTGTCGCGATTCACATGTTTTGGGAGAATCTGGGCGAATTCCTTCTGGCAATCCTAAATTACGACCCCTTCATCGGTCGGGTCGTGCCGACTTTATATTCGGTAATACTAAAGTCGACTTCAGTTTTCTAAAATCGGGCTGAATATGCAATGTATGTTGTATGAACACATGAACCAGAAGTAAGAAATTGCGGATACCTTGTTTAAAATATACGTAGTACCTTTGTTAACGATCCAGTAATGGGTTTTAAAAACTTACCACAACTGCACTCCGTGTGCCATACGTAGGAATATGTCCCAGTCCTGTAAAATCAACCTTTTATACAGGGTACTCAAAACTTGTAAAAAAAACTAAACTAAACAAAACTCAAGTTGTCTAGAATTAGAGTTATTACTTTTATGACTTTCTTTCGAAAAAAAATAGGGTTAAAAATAAATCCAGTTCCATCGATATAGTTCCGTCCAAGGGCAATGGTGAGTAGGTACCTCCGATAAACTACATTACCTACCATCTGTGGCGGGGCAAGACCTAAATTTGATGTGGGCAAGACAGATTTCGCGAGGCCCTGTTCTGTGGCGACCTGAAATTCACTTTTAAGCAATACATAAAATTTTTTGAGGAGCGATGCCCCTTGTACCGCACGTCGCCCACGCCTTACGCCGCCTCTGCCTACCATTTATATTAAGTGAAACTAAGCAGTAGGAAGAGTAGTCTGTCTGTTAGTCGCATCCTGTACTGTTTCGTATCATCCTGTCAATTCTAATCTATTCAGGTCTGTGAGCTGGATTATTAGAAAGACCTTAGTTTTTGTATGTATAAGACGACGAATCGACGGCCCGATTATGTGTAGCTACATAGATAATTGTGCATTAATCGGTATAGCCGGGCGGTAGAATCGAATATATGTAGATCGAGATAGAATGTTCGGGAATCACAGCACGGCTTAAATTTGACAATAAGGGTATTGAAAACCGAGCGACGACGACCGAATGAAAACCGAACCGATTGGAGCTGAACGTAAGTAGTAGTTGCTACGGGTCGGCTTTTTCGTTCCACAAGTACTGCCGTATCGAAAGTGGTGTCGACCCGAATAAAGCTGAACAAGTGGAGTAATTACTTCGAGTCGGCTTTGTTGATCGACAAATACTACCGAATCGACTATGTTGGCCCGCTTATGTGTAGCTACCCTAATTGTCTAGATCACAAAGGTTTTGTATGATTTTAGTAATTTATACTTGTGTTCCTATTTTAAGAAAATTCCTATATTAAGTTTTGTATAATTTGTAGCAGTCTTCGCTTTGCTTTGCTTCTGAAAAATAACATCTTTCAATACCAAAGACGCTTTATTAGTAGGTAGTATTACTAAAAACTTTTTTTATAATAATGATCGGCCCTTGGAGATGCAAAAAAACTTTTTCTCTTTCACTTTTAAACTCACTTCACTTTTAAAAGAAAAAAGGACAAAGATTTTTAAATAAAATAATAATATATTATAGTTGTACCCATGTGATGTGCAATAGTTGGTGGAATGCCGGAGACTGGCTGTTGCACTTTAATTCCATTTAACACCTGTTGAAAAAAGAATTATTGGTGTAAATATGTTTTGAATTATTTTAGTAACTGGGTCATTGTCAAATTCCGTGCAGCTAATTTGTGACTAAAAATGTTAAAATTATAAAAAACATTAAAGATGACTTTTCGTAACTACTAAATGTTTGTCTGTTACAGTTGTCTGCGATGTTTAAAATATTTTAAGATTTAATCCAGATTAGTGGGTTTGGATGAAAAAAATACGATTTTTTTCTGAATTAACTGCTAACTACAACATATGACCTTATAAATATCTAACAAATCAATGTATTGTTTTATTACCATATTAATATTAACAAGCTTTTCATAAAAATCTTTAGTATGCCTTTTAATCTTTGGGACATTAAAATAACAGAGTAGTAACACAGTTGTTCTTTTTTATGGTTCCGTAGTCCTGACAAGGAAACCATATAGTTTCTGTCCTTCCCTGGTTTGCTTGGAGACTATTAGCACCAGAGAGCTGTAGTTTTTTAGGTACCTTCTTCAAGTTGTTTTAAGGGTAGCTAAACCCTACATGTAACCTGGGGTGTTTTTTTTTCATCACCTTTATACACCATAATTTAATTATTTTTTTACTTAATTAGTGTGGGATATTGTTGATTAGGTCCTTTAAAATTACTTTGGGGTTCCTAATACTTAGTTACAGAGGTTTCTAATACATAGTTTGATATTGTTTTTTTTTCTTCTTCTGCTCAAATATATTGTGGTAACGACAGGCAACTACGGAACCCTACATTGCGCGTGGCAGGACACGTTCTTGGTTTTTTTGTAAAAAGCAAGCTTATAAATTACTCAAGAGTAACCAATTATTGAAAAAAATAATTAAAGCCAAAGTTAAAGAATATATGCCTTTCTGTTACTTTTTTAACAACTCTGTTACCAAGCGCTGGTAACGTTGCGTATATAGTAGTCAATTTAACATTACAAAAGCCATAAGTCATAAAGTAATGCGTAAAGTACACTTTTTTTCATATTTATATTAGTTACCTCTTTGATGCATACTGAATGCAAAATCATAAAAAAAAAAGATATACTTACGCAAAAAGGCAGATAACAATGTGGATGCACAATAAAAACACGCAGCCTGTTCAACACCTCCAGGTTCACTGATACTTCATATACCTCCGATCTAGTAATCCGATATAGATTACTAGATCAATCACGATTCCGCCCGTACCGCTTGTACAAAGGCAAAAAGCAGTGCCTTCTCTATCTTAAGTCGCGATTTATTCAGTAACATAGTATTTCAGGCAGTTTCACATAATACACGAGACAGTTTATAAAACATGTTATTCATTACATCATGATACAAACTGCTTTTATGAAATTTTTTTAAATATTTATGGGACACTTTTTAAGGTTTTAATTTATTAAGAGTAGGTTGCTGTAGCAGAAAATGAAATGATCTTATTTAGAACGGAGTGCTACCAGGGACATATAAAATTTGTAAGGAAAACCATTCATTTACCAGAATTTTTTACATTGTGGAGTGCCACAATGTTAATTTAAAAGAAACAAAAAAATATTAAACTGTCTATATTTTAGTAATCAATGAATATAGTATTGCTATGAATTTTGTTATAATGTAAAACTTGTAAGAGGTTGTGTTATATTCACACAAACTCTTACAACTTATAACAAGTTTTTACTATATTTTTAAACACAATTAACTGCTACATATTATTATTTCTATCATAAGAAAAAAATAGTGCTTGTTTTTAATTCTATTTTTATTTCGTTATGTTTTAATTAACAGACCAAGTAAAAAATAGGTAAATTTAAAAAGAGAAAAGAAAAAAGCAAGTCCAGTAGTCTATAATTCTGTTAATAAGGAACAAAGCTACTTTAACAGCCGGGACCCATTAGATATTCAAGAATACGTAATATTTTTCAACAGTGGGTCCCGACTGTTAAAGTAGCTTTGTTCCTTATTAACAGAATTATAGGCTTTTTTCTTTTCAGTTTTTATTTGAAGTATAATTAAGCAGTCGGGTTTTTTGACTTTTTAAATTTACCTATTTTATTTCACACTTTTTAGTTAGTTAGTATTTTAAGACGGTATATACCGTAGTCTTGTTACTTCAGTAAGGGAATGAATATCGCGGGAATTATTAAGTACCTTGCGTCGGTCTAAAAGATTGATTTATTAAGACATATAGAGACTTTACCAGCGGGGTCAAGGCTAAAGATGGGCCTTAATTTTCGCAAAAATGTGTGAAGTTAAATCAAGTCGTTACATAAATATCTCTAATGTATGTAAATTTTATAGTAATCTTACTCAAAAAGTCATCTTTTGTTTATGTTTTTTTTAATAGTTTAGCAGTAAATATAAAATTAATTTACTTTTATTCGTCGACTATGTAAAATTGGCAGTGGCTGTATTGTCATGTCAATGCCGGACGTCTAAGATTGTGATATACACAGAAGTGTCAGTCCCAAGTCTCATAATTTGATATACCTACATAATTCACAGAAACCCAATATGTAGATGCCAGAAATTAACTTCAAATGTTTTTAATCACCCTACATACAATACCAATCAATGACGTTTATGTCGCAGGTTGAAGAAAGCAGTAATTCCCGTTTGTTGTTTTGGACAATGGTGGCAACTGTCTTAGATCACTAAATTAAATTATTATGCAATCACTAAAGCAAAGTTTATAATATTTGATTAAACTAAAGGCGCATAATAAAATTTTCATAACGTTAGGTAGAGCACCATAGCAATCTCATTTATTATCAATTTATAGTTCTCTTTGTAGTTTTCTTTTAAAGCGTTCACATATAACAGGTCAAAGACTTTGTGATCGACCCTTTTTTATTAGTATTAGTAGTCTCCCAGTAGGGCAATCATGGCAATAATTTTCCAATTTTTTTTTTGTTCAAAAAAATACCGAATAACGTATCACTGTTAAGCACAAATGCTAAGTAACTTTTACAAATATAATCAAATAAACCTATTACTTACTTTATTTTTAAATCTTTTTCATCAATTAAATACTTATCTTATCCTAACTATCTATACTAACATTATAAAGAGGCAAGATTTGTATGTTTGTAACAAATAATCTGTCAAACTACTGAACCGGTTTCAAATATTAATTCATCATAAGGTAGCTACATTATTTATTATTACATTTTTCTTTATTTAAATACATTTTGTCCGAGTGACATAGGCTATATTTTATTCCGATAAATAAATTTCGCCCGTACAATGCCGGGGTGGATCACTGGTAAGTATAATATAATATTATAGATGCGAAAGTGAGTTTGTTTGTTGCGTTTCCGTGCCCTAATAGCTAAATCAATTAAAATGAATTCCCCTATAGAAGTAGATAGGAACTTGATTCTTAGCTACAACATCGCAATATTATAATTATAGGCGTAGGGTGATGAGAGGGGTGATTTACCTATAAAAATCTACATTATTTACTTTGAATTTTGCAGAATTATTACAAAACCAATATTATCGCGAGCTGATTAATAAATACAGGGATTCCAATAAGTATGTACTTACTAGCGAAAAATGTCATTATATTAAGTAAACCTTTTTTTGTAACATTAAGTAATATCGTTAAAAAATGAAAAACAGTAAAATTCTGAGTTTTTCATTAAAATTCAATAATCATAAATACCTATTATGATAATATATTTTTCATCATTTAATAAGAAGGAACTGTATCACAGTTTTATTGTTAGTACTTTGTATAGGATCAGATATTGCGAATAGCCCTTTTTTTCTTTTACATAGTACACCGCGCCATCACTTTGTCATCGTTGTAACTTTTTAAATATTTGTCGAAATGACATAGCGTAAAAAGCAAAGTTTATCGTCTTTAAATATCAAAAGCGATAAAAGTATTTGTTTTGATAAAAAATGATTTGTTAATACAAAATGTGCATTTTGGAAATAGATATCAAATAATATTTTAGTTTTGATTCACTATTTTAGCGGTAATGACTTGCACATTAAAAATAGACATATGGTGTCACGAACTTTTTTTTAGAACTATTTAAGAGATACATTTTCACTCTACATTACATTCATGTAACTTTTATTGTTTTTGCAGTGCAGGCCAAAATGGCTCGCAGATGGGAGATTTTTTTCCGTCCTATGTGACACTTATTGTTATATATTGGCTAATTCACTCAATAACTACATAAATTATTATATATATGTAATTATCATATATGAGCTATATTACTGTTAAGTTTCATTAAAATCCATTCAGAATTTTTTAGGTGAAAGAGTAACAAAGATCCATACAAACGTAAGATTGAAATTAAAAGCGTAAGTGGTTAATATACAACTTAAAAGCGTTGTAGATCCTAAACAATCATATTAAATGAAAAATGGTGTTAGGAACCTAAATATGATTTTTGATTATCTAGACAGTGATACCCCACTCGATATATTTTGTCAACTTATTTTTTTTACTTCGTCACAATATGGCGCCTAATTTTGCCCATATTGAATTTTGATTACTATCATATCTTTAGTAGCACTCCCATGATTGAGACGAATCGATTGATGTATGAATCATCAAAATCGGTCCAGGCGTTTGGTCTTTAGTGTGCCACAAAGGAACAAACATACATATATAGACTGTTAAACACATAACCCTGTCTGCGCGTCGCGCTTCGCGCTCTTGCATTGCGCAGCCGGGTAAAAAAATAAGTCAGTAGGGGGACTTACTACTTTACCTGCGCAAAATTTGACAATGACCCAATCACTAAAAATGTGATAAATTTACTTATGGCCTTAGCTCATCAGGCAGCTGTCCCACCGCTGGCGAGGAAGCGGCAAACTGTCGTATATTTAGATAGTACAATAGATATACATTCCGTGTGAATAAAAGAGATGCAATTATGAATAGTTAATTGCTGTCTTTTCACACTGGCCGGTGAAAACTCTCTGAGAGTTATCAAGGATAAATAATCAGGGGCGTATTTCAAAATGTGGCGCTTTGGCCCTCTTGGATATAGGGAGGGTAAATACTCCCCTGGAGATAATGCTCGCCCAGCGATACTGGCTCAGCGAATGCTCTCTTGACTCACAACGCGCGCGTGTGCATTTTTGCGCGTGATTGTCTCCGCAGGCAAGAGGCGCGAGTAACCAACCTATCAATAACTACCAATCGTACTCAGGATAAATGCCTTATTGTGCATTCTGAAGCACGAGGAGCTCGACACAATACATTTTCGATCTGGCAATTGCGAAAGTTCAATGAAAAAGAAAAACTTCAATGATTATCGACCGAACACGCTAACCACTTGTACTATCAACTCCTCGCAATAACTTTATAAAAGCTAAAAGTGGGATGCGCGATGCCGCTTACCTCTCACAAGGTTGATATACGGCATCAAGCAAGTCGGGGGACACGCTGGATGCGGAAAGCACAGGAACATTGTGTAAAGAAAGCCCTGGAGAAGGCCTATGTCTAGCAGTGGACTTCCATCGGCTGATGATAATAATGATCGGTCCTTGGAGATGCATAATTATATCTCATCATGTTGACGCCAATGTTGCAAAGGAATGGAATGAGAGGAAGCGGTGCTCTTGCTAACGATGAACAGTATTTTGGACGTGTTCCGCGTAGTAACCTGCTTCATCTCAGCCTGAAGCATGTGTGTGTTAAAGATTAATTATATCTAGCCTGTTGTATATTGACGCCGATGTTGTGTGAGGGCGCGGTGCTCTTGCTGACGATAAACGGTATATTGGACGTGTTTCTGTTGTCCGCGTAGAAGCGCATGCCGGCCTGCTTCATCTGCGACGCGACTGTGGGCAGCTCGTAGCCACGGCTGCGGTACTTCACACGCCGCGGGTTACGGTGGAATTCCTGGTCCATTTGCGTTAGAGATGAATTATATTACCTAATAATCTCCGCCTCACACAGAAGACTTTAGCCAAATACAAAATATTATTCGGGGGTATTGACGTGCGTTGCGTTAACTACAGTAGATGCAGTCGCGACCAACGGCTTAACATGTTATCTGAAGCACAGCAGCAGAAGCTGTGCTGTTGCTCCAGTCGATAAGTTTCCAAACCTTGTGGTTAATCACACGCGAATGATATCATACTAACCTATTACCATCAGGCCGACCTAATAATATAATTATACGCTTATTTGCCACATTTCTACATAAAAACAAAGGTACAAACTGTATGGTGTCTGATAATAGTTATTTCCCTACCTTCCCCCTGGATCTCTGTGCCTGACAGACGTGTTTTTAGTGGAATTCTTTATAAAAAATATTAATAAAAATACTTAATTAAATGCAAAAATACCAGTGTATGAATTCGGAAAGCATAGCTGCGAGGAAGTCGCCAAGCGCCGCCGGGTTGCCCCGAGACAATCAAACGTAAGAAAGAACCCGCCAAAGTAAGTGCAGATTCTCTAACTACGCATACGCAATCATCAATAACGGACTATAAACGTGCGACAAAAAGAGACCGATATTGCTACGACGTTCGCATATCTCATTATCACTGAGAGGTCTGTGTTAACTGAACGGAAAGCAAATCTATATGAAATCATCGATCGGTGACTAAATTAGTTGACCCTTGCTTGTAAACTGCGTGTACGCACAATAAAATTGCTTGGTTATGGATCATACCTCTACGAATGTTGTGACGCCCTAGTACCGCTGAGTGCACGGCTTTGAGATATTTTGCTTGTTGTAAATTGAAGTTGTAGGAATTTAGTAAGGCATCGAGATTGCTACTTTTTCTGCAGCGCTTATGTCCTGGTGCACTGTGCTCGTGCTTGTTCTTCATATTTAATTATTTTTTGCAACACATTCGTCAAAAATCGACCTGCTTATACTTCGTCTAACTACTGATCTCTTAATATACTAAAGAGTCCTGGGTAGTCTGTTGATATGCCAATCAAGCGCACCCCACCTCTCTCTAAACCAAAGAGTATTTTGGAGCCTGCTGCGAGCTCGAGTTGTATCTCCACAACTCAATGGCAATGGAAAATCGCCTAACATTACGCGATCGCCTTCTCCCCTGGAATTTACGTCGTCTAACCTGACTCTGAGGCATTGTGAATCGATACCTGCGCTCGCTCAGTTGCATGAAGAAAAAGTAAAGCGCAACAAAAGGAAATTTGAAGGTCATGACCACAGTGATATGCGCTCTTTTATGGCGGAAATGAGATTGCAGTTTTCTACCTTTACTGATAACCAGGATAAGCAGTTAAGGGTGCTGCAGGAGTCTATAACCACCATCAAGGAGCAAAACTCGGATATTTTTAAATCTATTGAATTTATCTCAAAGAAGTATGATGAAATTACGGTTAAGCTACAAAAAATCGAGAAGGAGCGAGAAAACAACTTAAGTTACATAAAGTCGTTAGAGGATAAAATTGATTTTATGGAACAAAAAGTCACGTGCTACCTACCTGGAAATTCGAAATATTCCGAGAAGTGATAAAGAAACTAAAGATAACCTATGTTTAATCCTTGTCAAAATAGCTAAAATTTTAAACATCACCCTAGATATGAGGGACATCAGAGATATTTACCGTATCAACAACTCCAAATCGGAAAATAAACAGACAATAATTGTGGAATTGGGTAGCGTTATCCTAAAAAATAATTTTCTTTCGGCAATAAAAAAGTTTAACAGGGTTAAAGGAGCTGAGAAACTTAATACACAACATATTAATATGGAAGGTAGTCCTAACTTTATATATATCAGCGAATCCTTAAAACAAAAACTTAAAAGACTTTTTTATCTCTCAAGAGAGTTTTCAAAGGCAATCAATTACAACTATTGCTGGACCGCAAATGGCAACGTGTACCTTCGCAAACAAGAAGGAGCTGCTCATATTCGGATCAACTCTGAGGCTAACCTAGATAATATTTTGGAAACCAAATGACTAGTAATTAATTATAAAAATGATAATTTTGCTACTTTCTATTGCTATTGTGTCACTCTTTATATATATAACTTACATACCTCAATATTCTGTTGTAACTTGCTAATTTTAGTTAATACTCTTTCACAAAAACACTACAAACTTCACTTATCCATAATTACAATTAAATCATACTTCTCCGATATGATACACACACACATGAACTTATGCAACTTAACCTATATATATGTGAGAGTAATCTACAAAATAAGTAACAAGAGTCCGTAAAATATTATATGCAACCATCATCGTAAATTGTAATTCAGGTGGAGGGATACAAAACATCCACACAATACATCTTATTTTTGTCTTTTTTTCTGTTGTTTATGATCTTGTTTCATTTAAATTGTATTATTTGTTATACTTCTCGCAAAGGATAAATATGGACTTAAATACTGTTATATCTGACAACATCGACCAACTATCTCTGTCAACTAGTGTTTTATGCTCCCCAGAAAATACTGCCAATTTTATTTCCAAATAGAAAGACGTAAATTCGAACAAAAATTTTCATTCTAATATAAGAAGTGCTGCGCGTAATTTTGATGATTTGGTAACTCTTTTACATCGTATTGATGCTCGGGTGGATATCGTAGTCTTATCAGGGTGTTGGCTAAGTAAGTGTCCTAATATTCCAATCCTGCCGGGTTATACTTTCTGTGAATCACATTATGAAAGCCAAAATGATGGAGTGATAGTGTATGTCAGCGACAATTTCCCGCATACCTTTGAAAAACCATCTTTCCTTGATGGGAATTGTTTAATTACCAAAATTGGCAATGAATTAGCAATAGTATCCTTATATCGTTGCCCCTCTTATACCCGTGTTGAAAACTTCCTAAATAGTTTAGACTTAACGCTGATATCTTTGCATAAATTTAAAAACATAGTGTTTTTGGGAGATGTAAATATTAATATTTCAACACAAAGTTCTGACCCATCATTAGATATGTATTAAGAAGTCTTGTCTTCTCATGGTTTAGTACCTGCCCACAATTTACCTACGAGATTGTCTAGCTGCCTTGATCATGTCATCATTAAAACCCAAAATCGTGCCTCGACATTAGTTTTAGACGCGTATCTATCGTACTCTTTTAGTCAGCTGCGATATGAGCAGGTGCTTGAAAAATAACACCTTTCCACAAAAGGTAAAAAGTGTGTAAGTGACCTCGAATATCTCGATTTCTCAAATGTTTTCAAATTAAACTCTAATAATGCCGAGGACGCTGCGTCTAAACTGGTTGAAAGTTTCTTCAGTGGTTGTTAGGAATTCATCATTTGTCGTTATACCAAGTAGAAAAAGGATAATTAATCCCCGGATTACTTCAAGACTATTAAGATGCATTCGTCATCGCGATAGGCTTTGCCTTCGATCAAAAAAAGATCCAAATAATAGTATTCTCAAGATATCATCCATTAGATACAGAAATTTTTGCAACAATATGTTAAAAAAAATTAAACGAGACTATGAATGTAATGAGTTTAAAAAAAACAGTAAGAAACCAAAAACTACTTGGAAGCTTATAAAGAATATTGCATATATTAACAATAGCCAATCATCATCTAGTGAACTTCTTTCTTTAAATACAAACCCCACTCTAGCCGTAAACACTATTAATAAATATTTTGCAAGCATTGGAAAAAAAATTGGCTTTACAGATCAATGGATCAACTGTTCATGATGTCCCTAACTGTCCCTCCAGAGTGGTCACTCAACCAAACTCGATGGCGCTACTTACAACTGATGACCATGAAATTGAGCAAATCATTCTTGACCTCAAAAGCAACTGTGTAGAGGGTTGGGATGGGATCTCTGCCAGTCTAGTTAAAGTTGCTAGACGTGTACTGGTTCCTATTCTTACTCACGTTTTCAATCTTTCTTTAAACAATGGAGTGTTTCCCAAGGTATTCAAAAAAGCAGTAGTTCGCCCAATTTACAAAAGTGGAGACAAAGTTGATACTTGCAATTATAGACCCATATCCATACTGACTACTTTCTCCAAAATATTAGAGAAAATTCTTAATAAAAGACTTCAATTATTTCTAGACAATTTCAGTATCTTATCAAAAAATCAATATGGATTCAGGTCAGGTAAAAGTACCGAAGATGCAGTTTTAGAACTTACAGAATCAGTGATTAAAGGCTTCGAAAAAAAGTTTAAAACGCTTGGAATATCCTCGACCTATCTAAAGCATCGATTCCTGTTCTTCTGCATAAACTTAACTTTATTGGTATAAGGGAGAAAACACTCCAGATTTTTGACAGTTATTTATCAAATAGAACGCAGTGTGTTGTCGTCAATGGTTTTACTAGTGATGATGAGTTCATTGAGTTTGGTGTTTCACAGGGAAGTGTTTTGAGTCCCACATTACTCTTGATCTACATCAATGAGCTCTGCGAACTTTCGCTGTCGAACACCAAAATTATAACTTATGCCGATGACACAGCTTTACTGATTCAGGGTCGATCTTGGGTTGAGGTTGTAAAGTGTGCAGAATCAACTTTAAAGTCGGTTGTATTATGGCTTACCAGAAATCTACTCACCCTAAATTTAAGCAAAAAAAAATCATTGCATTTTGTCCAACAAAATCATCCCTACCATCTCATTCTACAGTTATTCAAGCATTACTTGCAACGCTAGCCCAAATACTCCAAAACAGTCGTGCTCCTGTATTAAAATTAAAATTACATCCTCAATTAAATATCTAGGAGTTATTTTAGATGAAACTCTATCCTGGAAGGAACACATATGTCTAGTTTCATCACGTGTTAGAAAACTCGCATACGTATTTAAAATTTTAAGAGATGTGGTTGACTTTGCTACGTTAAAAGTCATATACTACTCTCTTGCCCAGTCGTTAATAAACTTGGTTGTATTGGTTTACTTGGATTTAATTCTTGAAAAAGTGATTGATATCTTTGGTTTTGCAACAAACATTACTTATTCTTAACATTAAGGTGAGGTTCTATCAATAATCTATGGATACTTCACCTGAAGTCGACGCCCAAGCTGTGGCACTTATTCAGGCCGGACACAGCCAAAGAAACGTGAGTGCTCAACTTAATTTAAGTCGATCTGCGGTCCGAAATGTTTATCGGAGGTACCTAGAGACTGGCGGCTTTGTTCGTCGCCAAGGAAGGCCACGATCTCGGGTCACAACTGAAAGGCAGGATCGATTCATCGTGACGACTAGCTTGAGAAATCGTCACCTTACTTCCATTGAGATACAAAAACAAATTCGCGACTTCCACGGAGTATCTGTGAGCGCTCGAACTGTTCGGAGAAGGTTAAAAGAACGCGATATGGTACCACACAAGCCAGCTAATGGGCCCAAACTAACGCGAGCCCACCGAACAGCGCGCCTTCATTTCGCAGGCAGTCATTTAAATTGGACACAGCAAGATTGGAGCCGTGTACTCTTTTCTGATGAGTCTAAAATTGTGTTACATGGCAATGATGGAAGGAAGAAGGTCTACCAACGTAAGGGAGAGCGTTTCGCACAATGCTGCTTTGAAGAGAGGGTTGCTTATGGCGGTGGCTCATGGACTGTCTGGGGCGGTACATCCACGAGCGGCAAAACTCAAGCAAAGGTTGTTGTAGGATCACGGCTGCCAACATTTAATGCTGAAAGGTACATTCGTGAGTGCTTAGAACCTCACGTGATACCATACGCGGACTATGTGGGCCCAAATTTCCTTTTTATGCATGATAATGCAAGAGCCCATGCGGCCGGCATCGTCAGGGAATATCTTCGGGATGTGAACATCACAGTTATGGACTGGCCAGCCAGAAGCCCAGACATGAACCCCATTGAGCACATGTGGGACGAGCTAAAAAGACGTGTTAGGGCTCGTCAGCCAGTTGCCCAGACGATGCAGGAGTTGAAAACTGCCATAGAAGAGGAATGGGAGATGATCCCTCAAAATTTCATAAAGCGGTTGATAAACTCTATGCCTAATCGTATGAGAGCTGTGGTAGATGCCCATGGAGGCAACACGCGTTATTAAATTAAACCTTTATTTGATAAAACATGTTTTTTATTCAAAAATCAATTGCCTTTAACAAGGCGCATATCCGACTTGTTAGGCGTAGCTCCATGTCGTATGGTATTCTGAATTCAAATTTAAAACAATACGATCGAAAAAGATGGTAAAATGTATCAGGTTTAAAACTGCATCAACAGTTTTTGTTCAATCTAGCAATCATATTTTGGTAGGGGCCATCGAAACCTAAACTCTATGGTGGGCCAATAGATATGTCCAGAAGTGTATATGTGAAATCACATGCAACTATCATTTTAGTACAATCGGACACTCTCACTCTCATAAACATACACACATGCACATACAGACACACACGCAAATACAGACTCACACACACACTCATATATACAAACACACACACATACATACTTTTTATCTTTAAGTAAATGGTAAGATATGAACTGTAATTTTTATTTATGTTTTATGGAGCACACGTCTCTGTATCTGGAGGTGGGCGCTAATAGCTGTAACACAGTTCTAGAAACTAATATAGCTATTAACGAACCTAATTAAACATGTAACCTTAATTAGTTCCAATAAATATATTTTCATTTTTTCATTTTCATTTATGATATTAGTGCGGTAAGTTGGTTATTACAAACGAGTAGACGAATGTAAGCCCGAGACGAAGTCGATATAGTCACGGGTTTGTAAATATATTATATTACGAGACACCATACAGTTTGTAACGTTGTTTTTAAATATCATTTTTGAATATCATACAATAATTCAACACATTTGCGAGAAAAAAAAGTATAGTTTTTAAGCAAACTTTTTCTAAGAAGAAAATGGCGCGCATTTCCCCGTGGCGCCACGTGCTAGTGGTGAAAAGTAGAACTACAGCTCTGGGCTCTTTTTCTTTGTTTAATATTAAAATGAGAGAAACGTATAGATCAAAAGCGCTTTCAAGGAGGTTCGATCGAAATTTTAAAAAAGCCGTAAACGATACACGGTGCCATGTATGGGAGCGTGCGGTTAAAAAAAATCCTCAGGCTCTTGTAGTATGGTATGTAATTTTTAACTTTAGAACAATGTATACAACCTCCGTAGTTGCATTTTATAGCAAATGTGTTATAAAGAACATTTGCACTACTCGCACTTACCATTTTCGTTTCTGTTAAATCTCGTAGCGGGCCTGTGGTTTGGTCTCCCGATCTAGGTGCGCATGCTTTACATGCAAACAAAAATATAATCTAATTGGTATAAATATAGAAACATCAAAAGGTGATGCCATAATTAAAAGTATACTCATATTGATGAGGCCACTACTGTATCGTGACATAATACGACGATATATGCTTATATTGTAAGTCTAATATTTAAAATTATGAACCGGTAAGTAAATCCATTAATAAATGAAAATAACTAAAAACCATCAAGAACAATCATGAATATACCTATGTTTCCATTCTTCGGTGGTCGTTTATTGGCATTAGTATGCTGTGGCAGAGGCGTTGAAGCTAAAGTCTTATTGAATAGTTCTACTACGGGCCGCTCTTCCGCAGGCGGCGTTGCTGGACAACAAGGAAAAGTACATGTCAAGTACTTACATTCGTAAATTCCCGATAATAATAATAGAAGTGGCAAGCAAGCATCGCATAACTGAGAACTTAAGCTACTGCAAGTGATTGGTGAGAAGACAGTTTTTACTTTGGCAGTGTATCTCTTTTACTGACATGAAATCCTCAACGAAAATAACCTCTGTATTTAAGTAAATAAAGGTTCAAGCTCCAAGGGGTAGGGAAAGGATTCAGTGCTTGCGATTCCAGTGTCAATACACGAGTCACACACCGGTATTAGAAGCTAGTCTATTTGTACTAGGCTACGGCAGTCGCTTGCCATCAGACTGGCCATGTCCTTCACTGAAGTCTTTCAACTGATATGGCCATTTTTGCATTAAAAAACACAGTAAAATATTATTTAAAACGAAATACAAGTGTATATGCGTGCTATCTTAATCTCAGTCGCGCTTTTGATACAATACAATATGATATATTGTGGGCGAAAATGGAGGAGACAGGTGTGCCCGGTGAGATATTGGAACTATTTAAATATTGGTACGGAACCCAAACGAACGTGGTAAAATGGGGTAGTGGCTTCTCCAAAGAATATAAGCTTGGGTGTGGCGTAAGACAGGGTGGCCTCACGTTGCCAACCCTATTTAATCTTTATGTGGATGGACTGATGGATGAACTCGGTGGGTCCAAAGTTGGCTGTTACATGTGCAATCAACCTGTCAATAACTTGAGTTACGCTGTCGATATGGTCCTGCTGAGTCCCTCTGTAAGGGGCCTACGGAAACTTATCAATATTTGTGAAAGATATGCTTCACGTCATGGTCTGACATATAACGTGGATAAGACGGAGGTAATGATATTCAGGCATGATAGGACGAATATGTTTAACCCTGTTTCAACTCTGGCGGGATCACAGCTAAAAATCGTATCACAATTTAAATACCTGGGACATATTATAAGAAATAACTTAAATGATGACGATGACATAGAAAGACAAAGGAGATCCATTGCCGCCAAAAGTAATATGTTAGCTCGCAGATTTGCTCGGTGTAGTGTGCCTGTAAAAATTACCCTATTCGGCGCTTATTGCCAGTCGTTCTATACCAGCTACTTGTGGAAAAACTATACAAAGAGAGCATACCACACTTTACGTGTGCAGTACAATAACGCTTTTAGAGCCATGCTTAAACTGCCGTGGCGGTGTACTGCGACGGGCATGTTTGCGGAGAATAGGGTTGATGATTTCTATGCTGTAATGAGAAAAAGAGCCGCTTCCTTTATGGATCGCATTAGAATGAGTTGTAATTTAATAATTAGTGCTGTGTATGACTGCTGTAAATATTACATTTGTGATTTGTAATATTTGACATTCTTGCCTGCTGTAATTGATTTTATTTTATTGGACTCAATTATTATTTGTTTTTGATTTTATTTGATTGATAATTGGATTATGATGTAATTTAAATGAATTGTAATTATTTGAAATTTATATTTGTATTATTATTATTGTGATTGTAATTATTTAATTTGATTATCATTTTTTATTTATTTTTCTATTTCTGTATGTAATATGGGTAGTATGCCTGAAATAAATGGTTATTATTATGATTATTAATGTCCCCACTGCAGGGGCAAAGGTCTTTCCTTTGTATAAAATGGGAGACTGGGCAGTCACCCACCACGCCGGCCTAGTCTGGATGAGAGGGTGCTTACGACTGCAGATGCTGCCGGGGCCAACGGTTTAACGAAGGAGCTTGAGATAATAAGTTTTAGGTCAGTTATTGAAGGACCGATCATTACGAAAGTTGCTTAACTTTCACGATCGCAAATCGAATCGAATGCCACCTAATAATTTAATGCTCTACTTCGAATGGCACAACATAAATGCTTGATTGGTCTAGTTTAAATTATTAAATATACATATAATAGCAAAATCCATATTTTTCCAAAAAGTTAATAGTTTTTGGTAAATGAAAAAAAACCTAGAGGTTTCTATTTTTTAATGAATACAAACAAGAGTTCTTACCAATACTGTATTCTTCTCGAATCACTTGCTGACGTCGGCTTGGAGGCTGAGGCCTAGTTTCCTTTACAAATTCAGGCTCTTGACTTCTCCATGCAGCTGAATAATAATATATAAGCAAAGAATAAATCTTTTATACGGAATATTAAATTATGATAGCTACACTTAACTCTATAGACGAGAGCTAATTATAAAAAGTCTAATGTCAAATTACTAAACAGTTGATGTTTACATTCTTTATTGGGGACATCTCTAGGAACATTTCTTCGTCGCCCAGTTGTTGATGTTTTCGTCTGCTGCCTTATCTTTGGATCGTCGTCGACTGGTCTCTTATTTTTAGCTGACCTGTCAAACAAAACACTATTTAAATATATGCGGTGTAATGAAATGGTTTCCAGATTGTTAATGACACTATATATGTGTCCAAGAGCCACGTCTGTGAAGCGTAACTCTTGAGTAACCCCACAGAGCGCGTAACTCACAGATATTCAATGTAAAACAAAGAATACTTAATTTATGTAAACCTCTAACATCAGATAGGATAAGGTAATTGGTTAAGTTGTGAATGAAAAATTAGAATCAATCTTTTTGGCAATACATTAATACATGAAGGAATAACCACATTTACGTCACTTTTTCACTGCATTAGTAGGTGGCAGATTATTATCAAAGTTTATCCATTCTTACAAATCATTACGCCGTTGCGGGTAGGACTCTTGCGTGAAGCGATGGGGGGACTCATCGTCGGCACCGCACGCAACGCCATATGGCTCGTCGATCTGGACACGCGCCTCTTCGCAAGTCGTCATCGCTGCACAAAAATATGCATCTAATTTGTATTTTCAAAATTTTTTATAAAATTCATTAAGCCATGCAAAATATTATTCCAAAAATTTGCTTTCATTCTATTCGTATTCGTAGATCAGTACCCCTAGCACGAACCATTATCGAATTCGAATAGTTTGCAAGTGCGAAATGTCAATGTCAAATTTTGTATGAAAACTTAAACAGCAGCGCCATAAAGTACGTAACGAGAACTAAAAATCAGTACACATTTGACAATGACACTTCGGACTCGCAAACGTTACGAGTTCGATATTAGGTCGTGCTAAGGGTACCGATCGAAACGAAAATAACCCGATCGTGCATAAAGCGAACAGAAAGCATGTGCCAAAATCACTTACCCCTGCAAAATAAAGGCAATTTTAATACCTTCATAGTTTTTTTTTATATAAATTCTGGCAATAAATAAACGTACACATATATTAACGTCTCGTGGTCTCGCCTTTGATTTATCTTGTTTGGCGCACACTTTTTGGTTCGCCTACGTGTTTTTGAATTCTCTTTTTAATATGACTAGACGAAAGAGAACTGTACAGTATAAAATAAAGTAGGTCCTCCACGCTTTCAGATAATTTTGTAGCTTGACAAGCAACTAACGACCCATTAACGAATAACTGAAGTTCGCCATAGGAATGGGCATTTTGACTTTACGATTCCATGACATAAATACTTAAGAACTAATAACTCACCGTCTCCGTCAGCGCGACTTCGACGCGAACGTTGCAGCTGTGACGACGATTGCCGTTCTCTCATCCCACCTTGTTTGTGCTATTCACCAATAACATACTATTAAGATATAAATTGTATGTGGTATTACAAGAGTTCTATCACATCATTCAAATTCAAATTTTGAAGGTCCCATTTTTAGGTTTTTCGCATATATCCTGGAAACTATGCATCCTAGCGACATGAGACTGAAAAGTGAAAGCTGATGAAATTTGCTACAAGTCTTATTCAGTCAAGTTTTTTGATAACTTGTATAGTTTTCGAGATATCCGCTCTTGAAAGTCTGTAACTTGACTGATGACTTTTACCTGTAGGCATTGAGGGAAATCTCTTTCGCTGGAGCTCCATACCACCTTAAGATGCAGGTTTCACCTGCCTTTTGTTCTTGAGCGGTGGTGGAGAAAGGATGTGAAAAAACCGCTGCTGCTTTCTGGATTTCTGGTGACTTGATAATGTCTCTGGTCTCTGGGAAGGGAGGAAATTTCTCAAACCAATCGGTGAGCTTGGCAATGTCAGCTCCATCCTTGTTTTGGCGGGCTTGTCCGAAATCTGCATGCTGCTCACTGGTTGAACCAACAACCCTACGGCCGGCATTGTTGAAGAGTTATTCGGTCAAATAGAGCAAAAATGTGAAGCAAATTTTTTTTTTCCATAATTACAGTCTTTTAAGAGCGGATATTTCGAAAACTATACAAGATATCAAAAAACTTGACTGAACAAGTCTTGTAGCAAATTTAATCAGCTTTCACTTTTGTCCAAGTCTCAGTCGCTAGGATGCATAGTTTACGAGATATATGCGAAAAACCTAAAAATGGGACCTTCAATCCCTCCCCTCCCCCCCCCCCCCCCCCCGGCTTAAGGGCTACGGGCGGGGACTTTTGATATGTTTACCTCCTAAGTAGTCCTAATAAAGTTACGAAGTCAAAAATTGTGTTCTAAGCATTTCCCTCTATACCTTTTCGTTGCCTGGACTAATATAGTTAACAGCCACTAATCCGCATTATAATAGTTTGGGCTATCTGGCTAGTTTTAGTATAATTAAAAAGTTTTAATTTTAAAGAAGATTATTCAAATTAGAAAAGTGTGTGATTTTCATTTATTTTTCTTACTGTCAAGATGAGTAAATCTAATGAAGAAATTCGATACATTTTAAAATTTTACTACAAAAAAGGGTAACAATGCAATGCAAGACTCGAAAAAAATTTTGTGATATTTATGGTTTAAGCATCTTCAATCCGTAATTTTGATGTCACAGATGCACGTCGCTCTGGTCGCCTAGTTATGGATAAAATGGATGCCATCTTTAAAAAAGTGGAGCAATATCGGCATACATGTAATTACGACATGGCTAGAACTGGATATTGACCACAAAACAGTCGAGGCGCAATTGAAAAAGGGTGGGTATACAAAAAAGCCCGATATTTGGATGCCTCACTGAAAAAAACCAAATGAGCCGTGTTCTCATTTGTTCTTAACTACAACGTAATGGAACCTAACCATATTTTAAGAAGCTGATAACTGGTGATGAAATGAGGATTATATACGACAAGAACATGCGAGAAAGGTCGTGGTCAAAGGCCGGTCAGGCTTCACAGACTCTGGCGAAACTCGAATTAACTCGCAACAATATGAAACTGTGTATAGGATGGAATTGGAAGGGCATTATTCATTCATATGAGCTGTTACCGCCATGCAGGACCATCGATTCTGAACTCTACTGCGTATACTAATGAGATTAAAGCAAGAAGTTGAGAGAAAGCGGCCGGAATCAATCAACAGACGGGATGTAGTTTTTCCGCATGATAACGCTAGATCTCACACATCTTTAGCCACTCAGGCAACAATATGTGAGTTTGACTTGGAGGTGTAAATACATCATCCATATAGTCCTGACTTTGCACCTTCAGATTTACACCTGTTTCGGTCTCTTTAGAATTCTTTAGGCAGTGTCAGGTTAACATCACGAGAGGACTGCTAAGTCGGGCTTTCTTGATCAGAAGCCCAAAAATTTCTATAGCAATGGGATCATGTCCCTACCTACAAGATGGCAAAAAATGATCGAACAAAATGGCACCTACATACTTTAGTTAAATGTAAATAAACTTTAAAATAAATAACTTACAAAATGTTTTAAGTTTTCATATAAAATGCGAAGAAACTTTTTCCCAACCTAATATGATGAATATGCGTCAATATGTACCAAGTTTAATCGGATGATCAAAGCTAAAGAGACATGTGTAAAATGAGTTCCTTGAAGTAACAATGATCTCCACTTCCTGTAAATAGGGGTACGGTCAAGACCATGATCGTGGATACAATACTAATAGAGTAATATTAGAACGCACTAAAAGTGTAGTCTCAATTTGAGCAATGTATTAGTTTAAGCTAAATTACAACTTTCAAAGAAAGTGTGATTTCAAGGGGCCTGACTATAGCACGATTCTCTAAACCTTGAACTGAATTTGACAAAGGTAAGAATATTCTTGTGATGCTGTACTGAAAGAGAAAAAGGAGAGATATAAATTATATTCAGCCTTAAGTTCAGAGAATATTTCCATAATTAGGGCCAATACCCACTTTATTCTGCTCTTGTTGAGGGTGGAATATTTGGTTATAGCCGCGCACTTGGCCGAGCATGCGGTGCTGCTCTACGGTGGCGGGGTCAATGTACCCGCGGGTGGGGTTCGGCGGTATATCCAGCCTGCGCAGACGCGCCGCTTGCTGCGACACCTCTGTAATAAACAGGGCTGACACGGTTTTGCTAAGCTAGTAGCTTTAAAATGCACTCTGACGCATTCAGGTATCTGGCAGCCTGAAGTGAGGGCAGGTAGTGTAATGCAGTTGCCTAAAATTCCTTGACTATGCTTATCCGTAATAATATATAATGCATACAAGGTTTTACTGTTCTCGAAGATCTATCGCAAGGTCTATAGTCGCGCCACGCTAAATGAAAACGCCCAAATGGTGCGCTATCTGGCTATCATTATGCGCGTTATAATTCACTGTATGAACAATATGATAGAGGAGGAGCTTGACGCGTATAAACGCGTGCCATCTATGATTGTGAAAGATAAGCAACTTGCGCAGCGGCCGTTCATAGGATTTCCAAAATGCTACCATCTCGAGCTCCTTCGTACTTCCAAAGGCACGTTAAACCGTCGGTCCCGGCTGCAGTTATGCATCAAAGTATCTGCACCAATGCACAATAAAAAATAATTTTTATTACAACTAGGTAGGAAAATGACTGCCCCATCTGAAGTTAATTCGTGGCAAGTCCAGACGATAAGAGTTAATTGAATTGAATTTGGATAATTTACCAAGTAGATTGAAATTATTTATATAGTAAACAAAATAGTTAATTACTTACTCTTTTTCGGTTGCGTTTGAACACTTATAAAGGGCATATTTTCATCCGCTGGAGCCGTATCAACTACTCTGGTCGTACTGTTGTGCAACAATAATTAATAAGTGTTCAATTAGTTTTTAATATCTTTACCTATTTAAGTAATAAAATGGTTTCATGATAATAAATGAGTACCTTCGTTTTTTTAATTTTCTTTTTCGTTTCAAAACTTTTACTAAATCTATTTTTTCTTGCAAATCATCACAGCGTGCTTCTGCGATTGCAAACTGATCATCTACTTCTGGAATAGACGCTGAAAATCCATTTAATATTAATTTCTCCAGTAAAGACCAATATTTCACATAGTTGGGTGCACACGGCTTGCTCCGCCTGGATTAATTGGTTTTCCTAAACCAATTTTATTACAGCAAAATAGAAGTATGCCCCATATCTAAGCGACAATTATTACAGCATTAGTGCTTTATTGCAGCGAGTAACGTAGCTGTCCTTGTGTTTCCTTCAGGAACTGCAACGCATGAGTGATGATTGTATTGATGCTGCAAGTGTCCATGGGCGGCAGTGACCACTTAAGATCAAGTGGACTGTCAGCTCGTTTGTGGGCATAAATATAAAAATGCCATAAGTTTGCTGATACGGGCTTATGAATTACGTGACTTTTACATCAACATTGTTGTTTCAAGTCAAAATTTAAAAAAATGAAATTATATGGGAAAGTATGGGAAAGTCTTTTGGCAGTTAACATTGTATCGTGCTTATCAAACATGTTGGTGGTAGACGACGATTCAACTAACATTGTAGAGTGCCAAGGCGGAACATAATGCCGTTACTGCTTTACATACCCAACAACATAATGTCCACAGGGTCATTTACCCTAGAGTCAAAATGGCCATAATTCGGTGCGGTAGGCTACGAAGGAACTTTACATAGTTAGAAATAAAAAAATGTGCGGCTAATAAATTAGAGAACCGCCGCTTTCGCAATATATACGCCGCTGAAGACACGCACAGAATTAGGAAAACTCATGAATGTGTAAAATATGATTCAGGAGTACCTCGTATATCTAATTGCCTTTCAGAGCGCGTTCCTTCCACTACCACTCCAGCGATGCTACTGGAGCTTCTGTGACGCTTATCTGTAAAAACTCTTTTTATCAAATTGAGATATTAAACAATTTATAAAACTCGAGCATGTAACGCCAAAGTTTGGATTTTCCTTTATGAGAGCACTAGGGCAGTAAAAATACAGTTTCTGTTGAAATTTCAGTAAACATTTCACGCTTACATACAGACGGATGTACAAATGCTTAGTAAATTTGGATAAAAAAAGGAATTCTGTAATCACATACTTAGAAGTAAATCCTTTAATTATATTTAGTTTCTCAGTCACCATCATTATGTGAGACCCTAAGTATGGTAAGAAATGAGAAATATTTAAGGTTTTTATTGTGAAGAGCATCAGCACTTACATTCATATTTAGTTCTAGAGTGTAACATGGTTCATGTGTAGGTATCTATTTACGTACTTTCCATAGTTCGGTTTTAACTAAGTGCTTACATACCTAATTGGTGTTGATGGTAACCATTCATGATTTCTGTTATTTTTACTTGATAAAGACGTAATAATACCCTGACAAAGGCTAGCGAGCACAACTAGACCATAATACAATAATATTGTTCGATTTCTCGACAACTTTTGTCTACCAATGAGAAACTGGGGGCACGCATAGAATCGAAGTATCTTACCTTTAGATAACTTCAAACCGTCGCCCATTTTAACTTGAAATTTTTGTAACATACAACTTTATAAGTCGTGTTTATTTTTAGAATACACTGTTAACTAATTAATAAATATAAAAAAGGTGATAATAGCTAGGACACTAAAAAATCATTACGTCAGTTGTCAAAAGAATGCCAACTCAAACAAGAGAGCATCTACGCCTCGTCTATATCCATCATAATCTATGTGCAATAGTTATTATTTTTAAAATATTCATTTTACAGAGGTTTATCCATAAAGTATCTAGAGTTCCTAACTACTTCCAATGCCCGAGGCCCTACTTACTACCGTTCATTGTTTGGAGCACTACTTAATGTTTCTCAGCATTAATGTTTTATACTTCTTATATATACGGGGGGTTGTATACGTTTCCTGTTAGTGGATTGCATTCATGATATTAGCAATATTTTGCAAGGTTCTTAGTCTGTTTTTTATCTTTTAAAAATGATTTTTAATATATTTCATTGAGTGAAAAAGAAACTAATCGGCTAAAGTCGGCTTTTTATTATTTTGTATTTATTCTTTACATAACGGACCAGAGGACGTTGAAGTATTACGTAACGCAATTTGGGGGGGAGGGGGGGTCTTGTAAAACGTTACGAAGAGTTACAGGGGCGGGAGAGGAGTTCGAGTATGATAACTATTAGTTAACGTAAAAAAAGATACGGGCGTTTTTGCTGCGTACCTACAGAAGCCTCCTAGGATGATTCCGACCCGCACTTGTCCTTTTTGACGTGACAACGTCTTAAATTAGGTTGCGGCTGGGAGTCACTTATGAAAAAGTGTAACGCTCGGTAACGTTACGATGAGTCTCTCGTGTTAAGTTTAAGTTTACATGTACAATGTTTTAGTAAACAAAATATATTTCTATAGTTAAAATTTGTGCAATTCTTATTTTCATTCAATTCCTTGTTCCTATTGTGCAATTTAATTATATTCATATCAATAAATATTCTACCGAGAAAAAGACGTTGTCACGTAAAATCTTCGCCCGTAAAACCGACTTTACAGGCAACCATTTTTTTTTACCCGGCTGCGCAATGTAAGAGCGCGAAGCGCGACGCGCAGACAGGGTTATGTGTTTAACAGTCTATATATGTATGTTTGTTCCTTTGTGGCACACTAGAGACCAAACGCCTGGACCGATTTTCATGATTCATACATCAATAGATTCGTCTCAATCATGGGAGTGCTACTAAAGATATGATAGTAATCAAAATTCAATATGGGCAAAATTAGGCGCCATATTGTGACGAAGTAAAAAAAATAAGTTGACAAAATATGTCGAGTGGGGTATCACTGTCTAGATAATCAAAAATCATATGTAGGTTCCTAACACCATTTTTCATTTTATATGATTTTTTAGGATCTACAACGTTTTAAAGTTGTATATTAACCACTTACGCATTTAATTTCAATCTTACGTTTGTATGGATCTTTGTTACTCTTTCACCTAAAAAATACTGAATGGAGTTTAATGAAACTTAACAGTAATATAGCTCATATATGATAATTACATATATATAATAATCTATGTAATTATTGAGTGAATTGGCCAATATATAGCAATAAGTGTCACATAAGACGGGAAAAAATGTCCCATCTGCGAGCCATTTTGGCCTGCACTGCAAAAACAATAAAAGTTGCATAAATGTTATGTAGAGTGAAAATGTATCTCTCAAATAGGTCTAAAAAAAAGTCCGTGACACCATATATCTATTTTTAATGTGGAAGTCATTACCGCTAAAATAGTGAATCAAAACTAAAATATTATTTGATATCTATTTCCAAAATGCACATTTTGTATTAACAAATCATTTTTTATCAAAACAAATACTTTAATCGCTTTTGATATTTAAAGACGATAAACTTTGCTTTTTACCCTATGTCATTTCGACAAATATTTAAAAAGTTACAATGATGACAAAGTGATAGAGCGGTGTACTATGTAAAAGAAAAAAAAATGGAGTATTCGCAGTATCTGATCCTATACGAAGTACCTACTAACATTAAAACTGTGATACAGTTCCTTCTTATTAAATGTAGAGGTGTAAAAGTAACGAAAAAAAGAGTACCCGTATGTATTCGTTACTTTAACAATTAGTACTCGTTACTATAGTATCGTTACGTTACTCGTTACTTCTCATAAAAAAATCGGTCTTACTATTTTAAAATTTTTAACCGTGAGCTTATGTTATATCACAATAACATCACAATCCATTATTCATCAATTACAATGATAAAGCAACAAACAGGTGTCGAAAATTATTGTATTGATAATAATACTTAAATAGCATTCTAACGATAAATCAACATAAAAACAGTTTTGCTTAGAATGAAATTAAACATAACGAAAGAAAGAACTACAACAAAAATCTTTTGTTCTCAAAATAAAATTATTAAAAAAAATAAAAATATTTTAAACGAAATCTATCAAGTTGGCTTTTTCGATAAGCATCTGTGAGGTAGTCAACACGACAATAAAGTTCTCACGTCCATTTGACCGGAATAGCGTATATTTTAACGATTCCACTAATTTTTCAGTTACGCAGACGGTTGTAACACAAAATCACACCAATTTTATTTCACAGTATTAATAATAATAAATTAATATTATAATTTAAAAATAATTAAAATAAGACGCCAACCGCACTCGATGAAATCCCGCCAAAAACTCCAACGTACGTTTTTAAATTCTCCGAATATGCTCGCGCATGCTTACAACATACAATCAGCAAATGTTTCTATACACACATCAACTGTTCTTGCGTAAAGTGAAACATGTAGAAAGTCATACTACGAAAAATGCGAGTAACGAAATTTATTTGTGTGTAACGATTCATTACTCGGTACTAGATGGCGCACCCGTTACTCAGTACCGAATACATACGGTTTGCTACAGCTCTAATTAAATGATGAAAAATATATTATCAGAATAGGTATTTATGATTATTGAATTTTAATGAAAAAACTCAGAATTTTACTGTTTTTCATTTTTTTTAACGATATTACTTAAGGTTACAAAAAAGGTTTACTTAATATAATAACAAATAACCCATTTTTCGCTAGTAAGTACATACTTATTGGAATCCCTTTATTTATTAATCAGCTCGCGATAATATTGGTTTTGTAATAATTCTGCAAAATTCAAAGTAAATAATGTAGATTTTTATAGGTAAATCACCCCTTTCATCACCCTACTAGCTAAGAACCAAGTTCCCATCTACTTCTATATGGGAATTCATTATATTCGATTTAGCTATTAGGGCACGGAAGCGCAACAAACAAACTCACTTTCGCATCTATAATATCATATTATACTTACTAGTGATCCACCAGGGCATTGTACGAGCGAAATTTATTTATCGGGATAAAATATAGCATATGTCACTCGGACAAAATGTATTTAAATAAAGAAAAATGTTATAATAAATAATGTAGCTACCTTATGATGAATTAATATTTGAAACCGGTTCAGTAGTTTGACAGATTATTTGTTACAAACATACAAATCTTGCCTCTTTATAATATTAGTATAGATAGTTAGGATAAGATAAGTATTTAATTGATGAAAAAGATTTAAAAATAAAGTAAGTAATAGGTTTATTTGTTTATATTTGTAAAAGTTACTTAGCATTTGTGCTTAACAGTGATACGTTATTCGGTATTTTTATAACAAAAAAAAATTTGGAAAATAATTGCCATGATTGCACTACTGGGAGTACTCTTCATTCGAGCTTTACACTACCAATAAAAAAGGGTCGAACACAAAGTCTTTGACATGTTAAATGTGAACGCTTTAAAAGAAAACTACAAAGAGAACTATAAATTGATAATAAATGAGATTGCTATGGTGGTCTACCTAACGTTATGAAAATTTTATTATGCGCCTTTAGTTTAATCAAATATTATAAACTTTGCTTTGGTGATTGCATAATTATTTAATTTAGTGATCTAAGGCAGTTGCCACCATTGTCCAAAACAACAGACGGGAATTACTTCTTTCTTCAACCTGCGACATAAACGTCATTGATTGGTATTGTATATAGAGTGATTAAAAACATTTGAAGTTAACTTCTGGCATCTACATATTGGGTTTCTGTGAATTATGTAGGTATATCAAATTATGAGACTAGGGACTGACACTGAATTTGTGTATATCACAATCTTAGACGTCCGGCATTGACATGACAATGCAGCCACTGCCAATTTTAAATAGTCGACGAATAAAAGTTAACGAATTTTAGATTTACTGCTAAACTAATAAAAAAAAACAAAACTAAAAGATGACTTTTTGAGTCAGTACTAGTTTACTATAAAATTTACATACATTAGAGATATTTATGTAACGACTTGATTTAACTTCACACATTTTTGCGAAAATTGAGGCCCATCTGTAGCCTTGATCCCGCTGGTAAAGTCTTTATATATCTTAATAAATCAATCTTTTAGACCGACGCAAGGTACTTAATAATTCCCGCGATATTAATTCCCCTACTGAAGTAACAATACTTCGGTATATACCGTCTTAAAATACTAACTAAAAAGTGTGAAATAAAAAAGGTAAATTTAAAAAATCAAAAAACCCGACTGCTTAATTATTCTTCAAATAAAAACTGAAAAGAAAAAAACAAGTCCAGTAGTCTATAATTCTGTTAATAAGGAACAAAGCTACTTTAACAGTCGGGACCCATTAGATACTCAAGAATACATAATATTTTTTTCTTTTCAGTTTTAATTTGAAGAATAATTAAGCAGTCGGGTTTTTTGATTTTTTAAATTTACCTTTTTTTTATTATTAAATAGTGCTTAGAAATATGTTTTATTTTTATTTTCGTAGGATCATATGAGACATTTTCTGACAGAGGTTCAATAATAATTTTATTTTCATTTCAATTAATAACATATCCTTTATCTAGAAATTATTTTTTATTCAAGGCGCAACCTATCCACCCCATCTCAAGCTATGTTGAATTTAATGTAAAGGTATAAAGCGCACTAATGCGCATTGCTAATTCAAAGTTGTGTCGATGAAGAGCACTTTATGTTAGAGTAAGAAGAGTCCATTTATAAAGCTAGCTGATGAAGCGAAACAGTGATTAGCCACACTCGCTTTGCCGGCCTAAAGCCTGTAGGGGTTTCGTACCCTG